TTGTCGTTCTTGTCAGCATCAGCTCTTTTCCTGAGCTCCTCCATGATGGGGTTCTCGGGGTTGATCTCCATGGTCTTCTTGCTCGACATGTACCCAGCCATGCTGTTGTCTCTCAAGGCTTGAGCCCTCATGATTCTCTCCATGTTGGCAGTCCAGCCATACTCACCGGTCACCAAACAGCAAGGAGAATCAACCACACGGTCAGACACCACAACCTTCTCAACCTTGTCTCCCAGCACATCCTTGATAACCTTGCAGAGACCCTCAAACTTCTGCTTCAATTCTTCCTGCTTTTGCTTCTCATCCTCTGTCTCATCAAGCTTCAAGCCCTCCTTGGTTGCAGAGACAAGCTTCTTGCCCTCAAATTCCTTGAGTTGGCCAACCGCATACTCATCAATAGCGTCAACCATGTAGAGAACTTCATAGCCCTTCTTCTTCAACTTCTCAAGGAACGGAGAGTTCTCAACAGCCTTCTTGCTCTCACCAGTGATGTAGTAAATGTCACTCTGGCCCTCCTTCATCCTTGTCACATAATCTTTCAAGCTAGTCAGCTCGTCACCACTCTTAGTAGAGTGATATCTGAGCAACTCAGCAAGCTTTGACTTGTTTTGCGAATCCTCATGGATGCCAAGCTTGAGGTTCTTAGAGAAGGCCTCGTAAAACTTGTTGTAATCTTCCTTGTTTTCAGCAATCTCAAAGAAGAGCTCCAGGCATTTCTTCACCAAGTTCTTGCGGATGACTTTGAGGATCTTGTTTTGCTGCAACATTTCTCTGGAGATGTTGAGAGGAAGATCCTCCGAATCCACAATACCCTTGACAAAGCTAAGGTACTCGGGAATCAAATCCTCACAGTTGTCCATGATGAACACACGACGGACATAGAGCTTGATATTGTTGGGCTTCTTCTTTGTGTCAAAGAGATCAAAAGGAGCTCTCTTGGGAACAAAGAGGATGGCCTTGAACTCAAGCTGCCCCTCAACTGAAAAGTGCTTGACAGCCAAGTGCTCCTCCCAGTCATTGGTAAGGCTCTTGTAGAAAGCAGCATACTCCTCCTTGGTAATCTCATCAGGCTTCCTCATCCAGATGGGTTTCTGCTTGTTCACCAAAGACCACTCATGAGACACCTCCTTGATCTTCTTCTTTTTCTTCTCTTCCTTCTCCTTCTCTTCATCAACATCCTCTACCTTTCCCTCCTCGTCCTTTTTTTCTTCTTCATCCTCGTCATCAGAAATCTCCTTCTCAGTAGTCTTCTCAATCCAGAGGGAGATTGGGTAGCTGATGAACTCAGAGTGCTTCTTGACCAAATCCTTTAGGCGGCGCTCCTCAAGATACTCAAGCTGGTCCTCCTTAAGATAGAGAACGATCTTTGTACCCCTGCCAAGGGGCTCCCCAGAGGTGTCTCTGGTGACAGTGAAAGACCCTCCAGCTTGAGACTCCCACACATACTGCTCATCATCATTGTGCTTTGAGGTCACAATCACCTTCTCTGCAACCAAATATGCTGAGTAGAAACCAACACCAAATTGTCCTATCATGCTCACATCAGCTCCAGCAGCTAATGCCTCCATGAACTCTTTGGTTCCAGACCGGGCAATGGTACCAAGATTGTTAACCAAATCTGTGAACAGAAAAATCAACATTAGCAAAGCAAGCAATCAATAACACGACACAAACAATTTTATAGGAAAAACCACTCACCAGCCTTGGTCATGCCGACACCACTATCAATGATGGTCAATGTGTTGCTGGTCTTGTCAGGAACAATGTGGATGAAAAGCTCAGGCTGAGCATCGAGCTTGCTCTTGTCTGTCAAGCTCTCAAACCTAATTTTGTCCAATGCCTGAAATCAAATCACCATATAATCCAATCAATCAAAAACCCATTCACAATCAATCCCTGATCTACAATCAAACAAGTTTCCACGTCTCAAAACTATAAACTACTTTCATAAAAGCAATATTTATCGTCAACTCATTTAACCACCTCCAAAATCCCGATATGTCAAACAAGCCATCACACACCACCAAAGCCCAATACCAATTAAAACACATTCCCACGACCACATCAATCCCTTCCTTCCAGCATCTACAATAACCCACTGTTCTAGCCCAACACATAACATTATTAACTAATCAATCATCAACAATATGCTAGAATCTCTTAAACCCTAAAAAGATCAGAATCACCAACAGCAAACAAACAAAATCATCAACAATATAAAAAATCTCTTGAACCGTAAGAACAAATCAGCATCATCAACAACAAACAAACAGAGAATCTTAATATTGACAAAACAAATACAGCGTAGTTAACAAGGGATACAGAGAAAGGGAAGATATAACGTACATCAGAGGCATTGCTGATAAGTTCACGGAGAAAGATCTCCTTGTTGCTGTAGAAAGTATTGATGATCAAGCTCAAGAGCTGGTTGATCTCGGCTTGGAAAGCAAACGTCTCCACATCCGCCATCGCTCTTAATAAGAACCTAAATTACTTCAGAGAGCAAACAAGAGAGAAAGGGACTGGGGATCAGAGAGTGAGGCTGCGAGCGTAGGGGTTAAGGAGTGTTTATATATTGCTAGGGTTTCTAGATCCTTCTATTGCTTGGCCCCACCCCTGATCTTTTTTTCCTTAATCCTGGATATCTCCTTATTATAATAGCCAGGGGAAATTAAGAGTGCGCTTTGGTTACTATAGTTTTATAGAAATTCGATTTGCACCCTTGATTTCCTTAGATACCTTTCCTTATTCATTGTAGCATTTACATCCTTCATCTTCTTCAATTCCCACTATTGCCCAGATTATATTCCTCAATTTTAAGAGATTGGGTTATTTGTATTAGGAGCTTTTATAACCAAAGATAAGAGAAATACGAAAGAGATATTAAAAAAAAAGTGTTGGATTTCACTAGCAGTTTAAAAATAGGGATTGAAGTGAAATACACTCAAAAGTACAGGGAGTGAGATTTACAAAATTGTCTTCTTTTTTATTTCCCAGTAATAAAGAAAAATCACGAGGAGGTTTGTAAGTCGATGGCTGGTATTGCTTTCTGGGTTTTGATTGGGTTCCGCGGCTATTGTTTCTAGAAGTCTAACGACATGAGATTTTGGCATTTTCTTTTCCTTATTTGGATTAATTAGGATGGATTTTGATAATAATTAGGAGCCCAAATTCTTGGCTTGGTCATGATAGATTGATTTGAGAGATACTGGGAGCACGAACAATAATGCTATATCAATAATCTAGAATTAATTTTAAGTGTGAGTATATATATATATATTGCGCACGCTCTTGAACGTCACCCACGTGCCACTGCCACCAACACATATAGGGTTGAAAACGCAAGAGTTATTTATATCATAACGTTGTCGTGCTTAAAACTAAGAGTGAGTAAACAATCATAAAAAAAAATTAAATTAAGAAAACTTTTAAAAAATAACTTAAAAACATTTAACAATTAAAAAAATTAATTAAAATTTTAAAAAAACTGACTCGTTCAATTTAATTTTAATTTTATAAATTTAAAATTAAAAACCTCAAACTGAACTTAAAATAAACCAATTTAAACTAGTTTTTATTTTAAAAAATCAAACCAAAATCAAACTAAATTTAACCAATTTTATTTAAAAAATATTAATTTAATTATTTTTTAATATAAACTAAATCAAACCAAAAATAATTATAATTACCATAAGTAACTTTTTACCTATTCAACCAAAGTTCATAAATAATATATACATGTACACACACTACACGCACTAGATTAATGGCACGTTATGAGCTGTATTATTTTTTTTTGTAAAAAAGAAATTCAATATATAATTGTATTTTTAAATAAATAAATAAAAATTTGTAAATGGACTGAACCAATTGATTTGAGAATATGATAAATATATATATATATAAGACAGACTATTATCAAGACTCCTACCTACCATCGAAAAGTTGAAATCTTTTTTTTTTTTTTCACGAACAAGCAAAGGATATGGCTTCTAGAAACAACTAGATAAAAAGCGAGACTCGCCATGAACAAGCAAAGAATATGATGCTTGTAACGAACCCTGCTAAGATTTGAACTTTTCTTCTTCTTCTTTTTTTTTTTTTTCTCTAGGATTTAGGGTTTTATTGAAAGCATTTTCTTTTCCTTATTAGATAGCATTTACTAGAGACATTGTTGCACTTGAGTTATTTTTTATTGCTCTGATTAATATCTTGTTTCTTTTTATATTTTAAAATTTTTTAAAAAAATTATTTTTTTATTTTAAATTAATATATTTTCATATCATTTTAATATATTGATATGAAAAATTATTTTTAAAATATAAAAAAAATATTATTTTAATATATTTATAAATAAAAAAATTTAAAAAGCAGCAATACTTCTAAATACCCTTTAAAAACAAAATTTCACACACACCTTGATTGTGTGTAAATAAGTAAGAAAACTTAAATTGACAATAGAATTAAAAAAGAAGAAGCTAAATTAATAAATAAGTTTAAAAATAAATAATATTGTCCCGGAAAAATGTAAGTTAACACGCATAACTTGTGGTATAGTTAAAGGACAGTGTGATAATTTTATTGTATAACTAACTCATACAAGATGAAAATGCTCCTCGTTGAAAGCGTGATAATTACTGTCCACAAGGGCATGGTAGTAATTTAGCCATGCAAATAGCGACAAATAAGCTTCGTACTCTTGATTCCACCTTGATGAGATGTTAAATTAAATAAGATAAAAATTTATCGGCATAATCCTGTCAATTTGATGAGTTAATTTATAATCTAATTAAAATTTATTTTGAATATTTTTTATATATAAAATAAATGTTGCTTTAATTTGTTTTTTTGTTTTTGAAACGAGACTGTTTTTTTACAGGGACCCCCCCATCCTCAGCACTCAGCAGGTCATAACTTCGATTTAAATATTACTAACTGGGCTATTTCCAAAGGGCCCATATAAATCTAACCAAAGCCCAATTCAGTCCCATTTCTGCCACTTCTTCACCCTTGCATCACCACTGACCACTCCCTCACTGTTTCAGCTCTCTAAAACCCTAAATCAAATCCCTCTCTCCGAAAACATGCCGCCAAAAGCATCAAAATCGAAAGAAGCACCATCTGAGAGACCTATTCTCGGCCGATTCTCCTCTCACCTCAAGATCGGCATTGTAATTTATCTCCCATCCTCTATTTTTCCATATTCTGACCTCTTTTTCGTGTTTTTATGTGTAAAATTAATTTTTTTGTCAGGTTGGATTGCCGAATGTAGGGAAATCGACCCTTTTTAATACGCTGACAAAGATGTCAATACCAGCTGAGAATTTCCCGTTTTGCACTATTGAACCTAATGAGGCCAGGGTCAATATTCCTGATGAGAGATTTGAGTGGCTTTGCCAGCTGTTCAAGCCGAAAAGCGAGGTTTGTGGTCTTCAAGCTGTTAAATTCCGCCTTATGTGGAGCCTTAATTTTTAGTGTTTTTTTTTCTATGAATTTGACTGATTAAGCATGCTCTAATTGTTGAATTATGAAGTGAAAATGGATAGAGCTGGTTGAAATATGGGTAGAAGTAGAAGTGAAAACAATGAGAATTTATTACTGGGGTTTATTTAAAGATATAAAATTTTATATTTAGAAGTCTCTGTTTTTGGTTGGTGTTGATTAGTTACATTTTGTGCTGTTCTTTTATCTAAGTACTTTATATTCGATATATTTAAAGGGTTTTAATTCTATGATTGTTATTCGTGGGTTTTATGTTCTAACGTAACCGGTTCAAATAGATCTTCAATTTGACTTGGTTGTTATGAGTTTGCTGGATTTAACATGGTTTCTATTGTTGAAGAAGGAAATAAAGAAACACATAGAGTTGATTGAAAATACGAGGGGAAAGTGAAGAAAATGACATTTTATCTAGGGCTGATAAATATTGGAATGTTTTAATGGTCAGGTTTCAGCATTCTTGGAAATTCATGATATTGCTGGATTGGTTAGAGGTGCACATGCAGGTCAAGGGCTGGGAAACAGTTTCTTGTCTCATATCCGTGCTGTTGATGGAATTTTTCATGTTTTGCGTAAGGCTTCTAACTTTTTGTATGAGAATTGGATCTCTATAACTTCAATGATGCGATTAATGTCTGATCTTGATAGCAGAACCACTATTGCACATGTGTCAAAGAGGGGAATAAGGAACATGGTGCTTTGCTTTCCTTTTCCATGGATAGAGTTAACTGTTCAGTGTTGTTGGAGCTATATTAGAAATCAGAAATAGGATTGGAACCTAATACTTGAGATTTTTTTTCTGCTTTTTGTACTTGATGTTAAAAGTGCACTTGAAATGGAATTTACTCTTCGTATCCTTGCATGTTTAATAGGAGCTTTCGAGGATCCAGATATTATCCATGTTGATGACATTGTGGATCCAGTTAGAGATCTCGAGGTTATTAGTGCGGAGCTCAGACTGAAGGTATGTTATGGATACACTGATGCTGTTTGGCAGTTAAATGTTGTCGTTCTGTAACATATTTTTGGCCATTTACTGTGAAACTTTTCAGTTGAGGTGAAGCAGTTTTTTATATTCTTTGCAACATTATTGTAGGATATAGAGTTCATTGAAAGGAGGATAGAGGATGTTGAAAAGAGCATGAAAAGGAGCAATGATAAGCAGTTGAAAATAGAAATGGAGATGTGTCAAAGGGTATGTATTTTTGTGGCCTGGAACTTTGGATAATATCTGTCTTCATCTATTCATGTTGGTTTGAGAGGTCTGGCTACGGGTTTGTTCTTCATTTGCAATGGTTAATAAGGACTGCTGGCTTATTCCTTTTCTGACAACTACTGGCTTGTTCTTGTAACTGATGTCAAGCAATGACGGTGCATGTTAGGTCAAGGCATGGCTTGAGGAAGAGAAAGATGTACGTTTAGGAGACTGGAAAGCTGCTGATATTGAGATATTGAATACTTTTCAGCTGCTTACTGCCAAGCCTGTTGTTTACCTGGTAAGTATTTTACCCTCCTATCCTTCTAAGGCTCTTCATAGACAGTTTTAATGATCTTCCTGGGTGAAACTTGCATTCATTTTGCAGGTTAACATGAATGAAAGAGATTACCAAAGAAAAAAGAACAAGTTTTTGCCCAAGATTCACACATGGTAAGTCCAATTTTTCCCTCAAGTCTACCTATGTTTCTATGAACTCTTATCACCCCATTCCCTGTGTGAGTCTTTGTATGCTCGTTGTCATGCTTGACAGCATTTGCAGCAACCTATTGCTGCTTTCAACATTTAATGTTTCACAAATCTTCTCTGTCTCTCATAACAGATTGATGCTCACACACGTGTATGTAATTGTCCTCAACATTTGTCTTATATGTTATATGGTGTTCTTGGACCCCAACAATTTACATCAATAACACTAACAACTGCTTTTTTCATATTTAAAGAAAAGAAAGCATGCTTATGTGCACATCACCCTGTTCTTTTTTCTTGATAAATATAGAACTTCCAACAGTGCATCCAGCAACATCATTCTATGCTTGCCATCTACTTGTCAAAAATATATCTCTTCTAGTTGTTTTTCTACGAAAGGAATAAGTCAATTGTTTTCTTTCCTAGGGTGCAGGAACATGGGGGCGAAACCATTATTCCTTTCAGCTGCGTCTTAGAGAGAAATCTTGCTGATATGCTACCGCATGAAGGAGCTAAATATTGTGAGGAGAACAAGGTACAAAGGTTGGTATTGAGGAGCCAGTGGCTTGTATTATATCTTTAACTATTTGTTCCTCTGTAGATCTGTATGCTCATATGAGAGAAAAACAGTTGTGTTTAGGTAATAAAAAAAACTAATCCCCGCCCTCCTTCCCCTTATATTTTTCTTGAAGTTGAGATGTGCTGCAGAATATAGTTATTTACAGGTGATGTGCTTTAAATTTGTTTTTTTTCTTGTAACATTATGCTATGTTGACCAAATCTCACTTTGCTGCAGTGCCCTTCCAAAGATCATAAAGACTGGATTTTCAGCAATTAATCTCATATATTTTTTCACTGCTGGCCCTGACGAGGTAACAGATACCTATACCCTTTTTTGATTTTTTACAATAAAAAAACATAATGTGTTTTTATATGCAATTTCCTGTTAATTGATGACTCAACAAATCACATTACAATGTCCTAGTTCATTAATTGAAATTTGCCTAAGAAACAATATTGCTGCAAGTTTTGGCTATCATTTAGGAAGTTATGCTCACAGACTTGGATTTGTGGCCTTAAAAAAGTGTGCTGTCTCTTGGGAAACATCTGGATGAATTGTTAGTTCCTAGCAGATTGCACCAGTACTTGAGAATTTATTTCAACATCAGTAGCAGTTACTATTGTCTATTTCCCACTTGATCGTGATTTTCAAGCTTCCTTAGTTTTTCATAACCTGTTTGCAACACTCCGGTACAACTGGTTTGGGACCTTGTTTTCTTGGGTCCTACAGGGTTGGTATTGCTGTGCAAGTATGCTTCTTCCACTACAATTAATGTCCTTCCCATTGATGGCATAGTTATTTCTACCAGCAGACCGTTTATAACCTTTTGTTCATCAAAAACTATCCCGATGTCCCATTTTTTATCCTATATACTGGGTTATTATCTCTCTTTGTATGGTTGTCTCATTTCAGAATGGTTTTATTTACTTCCTGTTTATTGCACAACTTCTTCTACCAGACAGCCATTTATAACCTTTGTTCTGATAAATTAGCGTAATGTCCATAATTGTTTGCTCTTGCAGGTGAAATGTTGGCAAATCAGACGACAGACAAAAACCCCTCAAGCTGCTGGGACAATCCATACTGATTTTGAGAGAGGATTTATATGTGCTGAGGTTTGTTCCTGGTTCATGGCTTTTGATTTACTTGTTTTCAACAAACTGGTCAATTTTACCTTTTTCAATCTTAACTGTCCCTCCCCCTTTCTAATTTCAAAGTCAATTAATGGTCTTGATGCATATTTGATTTCTGTTGGTGGCTGCAAAAAAAATTTAGCCTTGAGACTTGTAACTATTGGATTTTCTGGCAATGATCAGGTCATGAAATTTGATGATCTAAAGGAGCTCGGTAGCGAGTCAGCTGTCAAGGTATGTGCTCTGAATGAAACATTGTTTGTTTGCTTGGCAAACCTCAGGGGTTGAATGAGTATTCCATGCTCCAATATTTTTCCTTAGTAACTGTGTGGAGACGGAATTAGACAGAGTAATAGCTATAACAAGGGGAAATTCAACGATGGCAAAAAGGAAACTGATTGCTCCAAGATCCTGCTGCCAGTGGCTTTGTGGGACAAACCCTTGTGAAACCCCACTAGTGGGTTCTATTAATCCAACAGCTGTTTAAATTTGTTTCATGCACTGTAATTCTGTGCAAAACATGAATGTTGTGTAGCGCTCTTGCAAAAAGATTCCTTGCATTTGGTGGTGCTACTGGTGTTCTTAATATAATGTTGATGTGGGTGCCTCACGGACCATTGATTTTGCAAGCTTTTAAAGTTGAAACGTGATATTTGAGGAAATTTGAATGGTAAATTCCCACAAATTAGTCCCACATTCATGTCTAGATTTATCTACAGGCCCTTGTTTTGCAAAATATGCTAGCCTGCCCCTTTTTTATGACGAATTGAATTTCTCTTGCAAATTGGCTCAGGCTGCTGGGAAGTACAAGCAGGAGGGAAAGACATATGTTGTCCAAGATGGAGACATAATATTCTTCAAGTTCAACGTGTCCGGGGGTGGAAAGAAGTAAGATCATAACTGCACTGAGCAATGGAGTTAGCATATCGACACTGGAATCGGAAATTGTTAACTCAGTTATATCTTGAGGCGCTATGCCCCAACCATATGAAAAGATAACGATATATATGTATCCTGTTTTGCTGTCTGTAGTCCTTTGTTTGAGTCGATATTTCGATACATGCAGGAATGTAATTGCAAACATCTTTGAGCAAATATTGCAAGGCCCTGAGATTGATGTGGAACTTTTTCATTTTATTCTAAAAGCTGTTCTAGATTACACTCAGTTTTATGCTTTCAAATCCGTCAGTCAATGATTTGTGTATTCTTGGTGGTTATGCTATGTGGTTGTTGTAGTTTTCTGCTGATCATTTATTTTTAGGATTCTTCCCTTCATTATTACATAAAAACAAAAAAAAATACGAGGTTTATCCGGTTATTTTTTTCCTACCATAAAAAAAACTAATTCACTTTTAAAAAACAAAGAAATAAAATAAAATTGTCTTTAACATCCAGGGGTTGCATGGTCTTTTAAAAAAAAATTAAGAAGTAAAACGATGAAGTTACTTTATCCTTCAGAGGGTTTTTTTTTTTTTTTGTCTTTTTATTATAGTGTTTTTGTTATTACCATGTGATTTAAGGGGTGAATTATTATTAAATTTATATATTATTAAAAAAATAATTTACTAGTGCATTGTGTATGTTACCGTGTGGGTGTCTAGATTTTGTGGCAGCGGGTGTGGCAAATAAATAACTAGTTTGTCACCATCGAGGATGATCTTCACGTTAAATTCTCAAATTTTTTATACTAACTCTTCAATTTTTTTTAATTTTTTTAATTATTATTTTTAAATTTTTATTTATTTTATTTAAAATAATTTATAAAATTTAATTTTTTTATTTATCAAACTTCATTCTTATTTTTTTTTATCATTTTCTTGATTCATTTTATTTTTTATTTTCATCCCATATTTCTTTTATTTTATTTAATCTTTGTATTAAATTTGATTCTTATAATTTTAATTGATATTTTTATTAGTTTTGAAAGGTTAGAAATTTTTGTGATTTTGTTTAGGTTGCCTTTCATAGAGCAACTCAATCTCACAACTCAAAACATGAGTTTTAAAAATTAACTAGATTTAATTTTGGTTTATATGTATATTATTATTTAATATATTAATTTTATCATTTAATATTATAGTATTTATCCTTCAGCTTTATAAGTTTTCTTGTTTTTTTATAGAGTTATTTTAATTTTATATCCCGAGTTATAGGTGGTTGAATTAACTCGGATTAACTCGACTTTCATTGTTTTATTTAGTTTCTTTTCTATGAGATTATCATGTCTTCATAAGTTAACTATATATTTTGCATGCTAACTAGAAGTTAATTTTTTTTATTTTTTAAAATTAATTTTTTTTCAATTCATCTTTTAGTGTTTGTTTTAATAGTGATTAAACTTCATTTTTTTTTATATATTTGTTCTTTTTTTTATAAGTATCTTTTTATAAAATCAGAATTATTTTTTATTAGTTAGTGTCTCTTTCTTTCTTTTTTTTACTTTTAGTTGGCCTTTTATTTTACGATTATATTATTAAATTTATTAAACTTGCTTAAATTCATGACCCAAGTTCCAAGTAGTTTTTTTATTCTTTTAAAAATATTATCATTGCATGAATATTTTTTTAAGTGATTAAAAAGTGTTTTGGAGTTCAAAATGAGATTATTAAGGCTTTTCATATGCATTTTTGTATTTGAAGGTGAAATAAAGATAAATATAATTATATCTTAATTCTTCAATCACAAAATATGATAAGAAAATAAACTAATAAACAAAACATTAATGTTCTAGATGGATGACATGTCCTACATGTAATTTTTTTTTAAAAATAATTATTCCACCCATTTAACCAATTTCCATCAGCAAAATCATGGCAAAAAAACAAGCTATACAAAAAAACAAGCTATACCATTATGCAGCTAGGGAAGTCAAGGCAAAGATAACCAAAGAGAAATTACTGCTGAAGAAAGCAGTGAAGAAGGTGAAAGAGAAGACGGATTGTGTGTCATGAACCAGAATTTTATCTTTTAGCAGGGATATTTTTCAAATGTTATAAACAGTTCAAATTCTAAGAGAAACTATTGTAGTAAATCAAAGTGTCTCCTCTCTAATTTATTTTTGTTATTTTTTATATTTAGATGAAGGAGCCTAAGATTTTTTCCGGCATCTTTACCGGTGGGGATTGGAAAATGAAGGAGCTCGAGGAACCTCTCATCGGCTGGAAACAAGCTTCCTGAATCAGTTTCAGGGCTTTTGTCAATCCAGTCTTTAGACATGAGCAAGAACTTCTTTTCTGGGTCGCTGCCAACACCATTGACAAGACCTGATAATCTGGTGTGCATGTATGTTTGTGTTTGTCTTCTAATGGATCTACCATGAGGATCCCAAAGGGATTTCAGCTGATTTCAAGTCTACAGGCGATTGATTTGCATTGGCCACCACCGTTTCAAACCGCGGTGGCTGGGAAAAAAACATCAAAAGACGCCTTTCCACGACAAATTAGAGTTTCAAATGAGGTTAACCACAGACAAATTGGCTCTAATTAAGAACAAGAACTATGATCTCTGAGGTGTCTGGTGCGTTCTCATGTTTCTCCTGTTCTCTAACAGTGCATCGATCATCAACTACTTGAAGAACACCATGCGAGGGTGCATGTGAAATGGGACCGTGATCATATTGCCTCCCACTAACTCATCCTTCATCAACGTCTTTTGCTACGCGGGATGAGTAGAAATCTAGTGATCATTTATGTTTCTACGATCCTTCCTTCCTTTAATTCAGCTATACATCATTCTCACATGTAAAAAATAATAATAATAAAAATAATAAAATACTAAAAAAATTATGAAAAGAAACACAACAACAACTTCAATCAACCTAAATTATTTTAATTTATCAAACCTTAACCGAAAATTTGATGCAAAACTCGAGTTGATTAGCTCACGCTGATTTATCTTTATCTATTTTAATTCATTTTAGATTATGTTTGTTTCTAGAAGCTAATATGTAAAAAATTATTTTTAAATTTTTTTTGTATTTATTTATTATTAAAAAAACTAGTTAATAAAAAAAAATTTCTGGTCATAAAAAAATTTAGCTTGATTTCTAGAAAAATATTTTCCTAAAAAATTTGGAAGGAAAACACTTTCGAAAGTTATAAATTTTTTTGAAATGTTATATTATTTGCTAATTATATCAAATTTGATTCTTGAATTTCTAATTTTTATATATATTTTGTTTTGAATATTTATTTTTCAATTTCATCTCTTAAAATTTAATTTTTATATTGACTTTGATCTTTATTTTTATAATTGTTATTTGCTTTTTTCTTATCATTTTTTTATTAAAAATTTTTATCTATTAAATTTGGTTCTCATTCTTTTAATTGTTACTTATTTTATTTGAAATAATTTATAAAAAGTTAATTATTATTATTTTAATTTCTTCATCTTTTATTTTTTATTTTTTAGATTTGATCTCTATTATTTTGATTATTATTTATTTTATTTGTGATAATTTATAAAATTATATTTTTTTCAATTTCATTCTCATTTAAATTTTTAATTTGTAAGATTTATACATTATTATTTTAATAAACTTGAAAAAAATAAAATATTAATAAGTTATTTTTTAACTCTTTTTTCATGACATAATCAAATACTAAAAAATATTTTCTAACTTATTTTTTATTGTATTATCAAACATCATAAAATAATTTATTTTTTTAAAATTTATTTCTAAAAAAAATTACTTTTTATCAGATAAACAGAAAAGTGAAATCAACTTTATTTTTATTATCAAACATCAGAAAATAATTTTTTTAAAAAAAATTTATTTCCAAAAAAATTTACTTTTTATCAGATAAACAGAAAAGTTAAATCAACTTTATTTAAAAAAAAGAAAATTAAGAACGTGGAACAAGATTTTTTTTTTAAATGAATGGCTAGAGAGCGGGTCAACCGTGTTCTGGACCAACCTGCAGTCCTGAGTTGAGTTTAATAAATGCAAACCAAACAGGACGCAAAGAAATCCATTGTGGACCAGGGTTTGGTGATCTGTTCTCATGTGGCCCTCTAGATTTGCTTACACAAGCAAGATGGGTACCATACCATTAAGACAGTGGTGGTTTATAAGGGACATACAATGCCAACGTGTCACAATTTGAGTGGTGGTCCAAAATATGGGACCCATGGGTCGCAGTTTAACATACCCTATCATAATTTCTTCACCAACTTCGCCTCCCGTGGATTTGCAAGGTGAAGTGACCCTTTGTAGCCCCTAGTCAAAGGGCACTAGGTGGGGCCCATCTTCCGACGTGGCACTAGCCCCAACAAAATTGTTATTTTTTTATTTATAGTGCTTCCAAGCAGAAAAACAATTATAAACTAGATTTGATAAATCTTTTGAAGTCCATGTTGTTAGTGAAAGATTCCTTGTCTTTTTGGCGGGTAAATCCCTAATTTATGCCCTGAAAAATGTGCATGCCCCTTAAAAAAAAAAAAACCCTAACATTTTTCCATTTATTTTTTTCGCTCTCTAACACTAAAAGTCTAAAACCCTCGAAAACAAGGTTGTAAATTTTGTTATGTTGCCTTTAAAATTCGAAATTATATCTCGTTTTAATTTAAAAAATTAGAATAAATCAAAATATATTTTATTTCACTCAAAACCTTATATCTTGTTTTTGGTTTAAAAATTAGAATAAATCAATATAAATTTTATATCACTCAAAATCTCTATTCATTCAAGAAATTTAATTTGAAATATTCTAGTTTTGTTCCTTTTATCTCATTTGATCAAATATTTTTTTTATATTAATTTATGTTTTTTAATTTTATTTTTTAATATTTAACTATTAAATATTAGATTTTATAATTTATTATGATTTGTTTTTTTATAATTGTCTTAGTCTCATTATTCATGTCACGAATTTAACATGTTAATGCAGTTGATTTTAATTTTTTTATTTATTTTTTTAATTAATTTTTTTTAATTTTATTATTCAACATCTTTAATATTTAATTGATAAAAAATTAAACTTTGTTATTTATTTTGATTTGTTTCCTATAAAATTATTCTAATTTCATTACCCGAGTTATATGTTTCGTGAGTTAACCCTAATAGACTTCGGTTATTTTACTATATCTTTCATTTAGATTGATTTTTTTTTAATTTCATTGTTTAGCAATGTATTTATTATAAATTGAGCTTTATAATTTATTTTAATTTGATTTATTTAGGGTTATTATAATCTTATGACTTGGATCATGGATTTTAAAGATTAACTAAAATTGACCCGATTGATTTAATATGTTGTTATCTCAACATTGTTTTTTCTTAAAAAAGATGTTGTCTTGAAGTTTTTTGAGTTAAACTATAATTTTTATCAATTATTCAAACTTTTTTTTAGATTCGGTGAGTTAATTAGATTATATCAGTTTAACACTAGTTTTTTACTTGTATTTAATATTTAAATTGTATACTTTCAAATTAATTTATCTTTAATTTTAAATTAAAATTATACTTGTTAAATTAATAAATAACACAATCCCAAAACAACACAGATACACTTGAAAACAAAATATATCGTTTTAATTGAAAAAACAGAATGCCAACCAGACAACATTGCTCAAAAATTAAAAAAAAAAAAAGATGGCTGATAAAAAAATTAAAAATCAATGCAAACAAATTAGGTTTTTTGTTTTAATGAAAAAATCACATGCCTACAGATGGGGTTTTGTTGCTTTCTAAATTAAAGAAAAAAGTTAGTGTCCTTTGGTATTACAAAGCTGATTTAAGATGGGCAATTAAAAGAGGGCTTTAAGATAAAATATTTTATGGGTCCCTTTATATTTATGAATTCTTACAACCTTGGGGTTTTTTAATTTATTGTCCCATCCTTGTTCTTCTTCATGATTTCTTGAGATAAACTAAAACCCGCGAGTGTTCTGCTGTAAAGCCCTGTTCTTTGCTAGAAAGTTGGGTTTTTGTTGTTTGCTAGAAAGTTGGGTTTTTTCTTGCATTTTTGCTTTAAAGTTTTAGTCTTTTAAGAGTAGGAGATTCTACTAAGCCTCCATTGTTAATGAAAGTTGAGATCTTGTGAGAGAATGTTAAAAGTTTTTGCTCTTCTTAGATGATTAGATCTCTCAAAGAAAGGGCCCCATTTTGTGGTGTTAATGCTTGGCGTCAGTTGAAGAAAAAAATATTCTTTGTTGAAGCTGAGTTTTTGTCACTGGTAGCAGTAAAGCTCTCTTGGAGCTCCATTGTCACCGAGTTGGTGATTTTTTCTTGAGTGGTACTGTCTTATGCTCTCTAAAGACGTCAATGCTCTTGTTTCTTGAAGAAAAGGCTTTCCGGGTCTCTCTTGTTTTTACTGTTAAATGGTTGAGACTTGTTTGAAATTGCTTGTCATTTAGCTTAACAACTTTTTTCCCTTACAAGACTGAGCTTGTTTCTTCTTGTTATAAGGATTGTTTTCTTGTAACATTCAAGCTGCCATTGTTGGGTCTAGTTGTGAGCTTGTAAGGTCTGAAATTTAGTTGGTTTGGTTAGAAGCTAGAAACCCCCTTTCCAGTTTTTGATAGATTGAATATGAAGCTCTTAAGGCTTTTACTGTTATCCCTATTTTTCCTTTCTGCCATGGGGCAATTGCCTTCACAGGACATATTGGCATTGCTTGAATTCAAGACGGGTATCAAGCATGACCCCACTGGTTATGTTCTTGAGTCATGGAATGAGGAGTCCGTTGATTTTGGTGGCTGCCCTTCTTCTTGGAATGGCATTGTCTGCAATGGTGAAAATGTTGCAGGGGTTGTTCTTGATAACTTGGGTCTCTCGGCTGATGTAGATTTGAGTGTGTTTGCAAATCTTACATTGCTTGCCAAACTCTCCATGGCAAACAACTCTATAACTGGCAAGATTCCAGACAATGTAGGTGACTTTAAAAGCCTTCTGTTTATGGATGTGTCGAACAATCTGTTTTCGTCATCATTACCACCAGGGATTGGTAAATTAGGGAGATTAAGGAACCTCTCGTTGGCTGGGAACAACTTCTCTGGCTCACTTCCAGATTCAATTTCAGGGTTTGCATCTATCCAGTCGTTGGACTTGAGCCGCAACTCGTTTTCTGGGTCATTGCCAATGTCATTGACAAGGCTGAATAACCTGGTATATCTCAATCTGTCTTCCAATGGGTTTACCAAGAGGATTCCAAAGGGATTTGAGCTGATTTCAAGTCTACAGGTGCTTGACTTGCATGAGAATATGTTTGATGGTCATCTAGATGGGATGTTTTTTCTTGAAACCAATGCTAGTCATGTTGATCTCAGTGGAAATATGCTAGTGAGCTCTAGTTCTCAGAGATTACTTCCGGGTATGTCTGAGAGCATTAAGCTTTTGAATCTTAGCCACAACCAGCTTAGTGGGTCACTGCTAAATGGAGGTGACATGCAATTGTTTGCAAGTGTAAAGGTGTTGGATTTAAGCTACAATCAGTTGTCAGGAGAATTGCCAGGCTTTGATTTTGCTTATGAGCTTCAGGTCCTTAGGCTCAGCAACAACAAATTCTCCGGGTATATTCCTAATGACCTATTGAAAGGAGATTCTTTGCTCTTAAATGAACTGGATTTGAGTGCCAATAATCTCTCAGGTACCTCTTTAATCACTGCTTTAGCATTTTCTGAGTTGCTTGTGCTCAGTTATAATACTTTTAGTGGCTTAGTTATGTTTATTTTGTTTTATGATTGCCTCTCACGTTGTAGCTTCATCTTTTAGGGCCAATAAGCATGATTATGTCAACAACACTTCGTGTCCTTGATCTGTCATCAAATGTGCTTGTCGGGGAACTTCCTTTGGTGACGGGAAGCTGTGCTGTGCTTGATCTATCAAACAACAGATTTGAAGGAAATTTAACCCGAATGGTGAAGTGGGGGAACATTGAGTATCTTGATCTAAGCCAGAATCATTTGACAGGGCCAATCCCTGAAATAGCTCCACAATTTTTGCGTTTGAATTATCTCAACCTCTCTCACAATTCACTTACCAGCTCTCTCCCAGAAGTTATCACTCAGTATCCAAAGCTTAGAGTCCTAGATCTTAGTTCGAACCAGCTAGATGGAGCTATGTTAACTGATTTACTAATGTCGCCTACTTTGCAAGAAATCCACCTTGAAAATAATTTACTCGATGGTGCTATTGTATTCTCTCCCCCTTCCAATAGTAAATCCAATCTTCAAGTTATTGATCTTTCTAATAATCAGCTTGATGGCTATTTTCCTGATCGTTTTGAATCACTTGCTGGTCTTCAAGTGCTCAATCTTTCAGGGAATAATTTATCCGGTTCCCTTCCAAGTTCCATGGCTGACATGAGCTCGCTTATTTCATTAGATTTATCTCAAAACCATTTCACAGGTCCTCTGCCAAACAACTTGTCAGAGAGCATAGGCAGCTTTAATGTTTCATATAATGATCTTTCTGGGGTTGTCCCAGAAAACCTGAGGAGGTTTCCATCTTCTTCTTTCTATCCTGGAAATAACAGATTAAGCCTTCCAAATGGTCCTCCTGGACCAAACAATCTTCCTGGTGGAAATCCTGGGGGGAAACCAATCAACACCATTGTCAAGGTGGTAGTCATTGTTGCATGTGTGACTGTACTGATCATTCTTATCATGCTTGCCATCTTCATACTTTACATTCGTATAAGAAGGAGAAATCCACCAGGTCAAGTTACAAATACTGGTATCCGTAGGCACATTCAAACAATCCCCTCTGGCACTAGTGGAACAGGCAAATCTGGTGCGTTGGTTGTTTCAGCTGAGGATCTTGTGACATCAAAGAAAGGATCATCATCTGAGATTATCAGCCCTGATGAGAAAATGGCTGCAGTAACTGGCTTCTCACCAACAAAACACAGCCATTTATCTTGGTCACCAAAGTCTGGGGATTCATTTGCTGCTGACACCCTTGCACGACTGGATGTAGGGTCACCGGACCGGTTGGTTGGTGAGCTGTACTTTCTTGATGATACAATCACAATGACACCAGAGGAGCTGTCAAGGGCTCCAGCTGAAGTGTTGGGCAGGAGCAGTCATGGGACTTCTTACAGGGCAACACTGGATAATGGGGTCTTCATTACTGTGAAATGGTTGAGAGAAGGGGTGGCAAAACAAAGAAAGGAGTTTGCCAAGGAGGCCAAAAAATTTACAAACATCAGGCATCCAAATGTGGTAGGTTTGAGAGGATACTACTGGGGCCCCACACAGCATGAGAAACTCATTCTTTCGGATTACATCTCACCTGGAAACCTTGCAAGCTTTCTCTATGGTAAGATACTGATCTTCTAGCTTCAATCTTTATAGTTGCACTGCTACCGATTCTATGAAACTGAGTAAAATAGTCAGAAAACAAAGAACCCCCCCTCCCCAGCAAGAAGAAAAACACATCTGAAGTGAAGCGTAACTGTTTTATGCTTTCAATATCTGCAAAATTTGAGGCTCCAGGACAAAGTCTTGTAAATGTGAAACTTAATAATCGTTATGCCTTTTAGTTTGATACTTGCATCTCGCTAAGTGGGAAATTTGTCTGCATAGAGAGTGTTAGAGTTTAATTACAACCTGTATTATGTTAAGAGAAAAATAATCCTGCGATGCAGACTTGTTTATTTCCCAAATCACATGCATGGAGAGTATTATCTGCTCGCCACTCAATAGCAATGTGTTCCAATATCATAGGATCTTCAAAATACGTTGGTAATGGCATGAATTTCATATATTGAACAAAGTTGATTTCTATTAACCTGACTTTTCAGATCGACCGGGAAGAAAAGGCCTCCCATTAACTTGGGTTCAGAGGCTCAAGATAGCAGTTGATGTTGCACGTGGCCTGAACTATCTCCATTTTGACCGTGCTGTTCCACATGGGAACCTTAAATCAACAAACGTACTCCTGGATGGGCCTGATCTCAATGCACGTGTTGTTGATTACTGCCGCCATCGACTCATGACTCAAGCCGGCACCATTGAACAGATACTTGATGCTGGGGTCTTGGGTTATTGCGCACCAGAGTTGGCTGCTTCCAAGAAGCCACTTCCCTCCTTCAAGTCAGATGTTTATGCCTTTGGAGTGATAATGTTGGAACTTTTAACTGGAAGGTGTGCAGGTGATGTGATTTCTGGGGAAGGGGGGAGCGTTGATTTGACAGATTGGGTGCGGTTGAGAGCAATGGATTGCTTTGATCCTGCACTGGTGCCGGAGATGGTGAACCCCGCAGTTGACAAGGGAATGAAGGAGGTCCTTGGAATAGCTTTAAGATGTATAAGGTCTGTCTCCGACAGGCCAGGCATCAAGACCATATATGAAGATCTTTCGTCGATATAGTTTGTAGTCAGTTCCACTTTGATTGGGACTTGAATATGGGGTTTAATATCTCATTGGCCTCTTTTCATATCTCTGGTCCTTTGTTCCTTTGCATTTTAGTGTTGTTAGCAGCTACTGAGATTAACCATTGTTGTATAAAAGGAATGGATGGAGGATTTTCAGTCCAAGGCTATTTCTTGATGATCTTGTGGTCACCTGGATCAGAATGTTTGGTTGCGTTGCTCTCTGTATTTTCACATCTCTTGTTTTCTTTTTCATTTTTAGAAATCAGAGAATTAATTAAGTTTTTTTTATCCAATTACATGCTTCTAAAGATTTTTTCCCATGGTTATCATGTTCAATTTCTTTTTTAATTTTATCTTTTTATTATTGTTAAATTATTTTATTATCTTATTAAAATAAAATTAACTTATTTGATCAATTAAAGGTATAACTCGAATTGATTTATTTTATATTTATATATATATTTTTTAAAATCTGAGGTAGTGTCTAAACATGCTTTGCTTTTTAAATAAATAAAAAAATATATAAATCTATGGTAAAGCGTGGACACAGAGCCTAAAATAGAAGAAATGGAAGAATTATAGGTATAGTTTAATAATATAAATCCACAAATATAAGTTATCAACAATACCAATATAATTCACAGGCATCATTCAAAAACAAACCAGTGATTTGCTTGGTATTAAACAGCGTGTATGGATCACATCGATATAGATGTTAATGCTTTAATTCAATTCAAAGGATTCTTATAAGAGAAAAATAGTATATAAAATAAAAATGAAATGGAGAGTTATTTTATTGATAATTGTGAGGATGCTAATAATAATAAATTAAATATTTGGAATTGATAAATAATTAATGTTTTAAAATATAAGATATTTTAAAAAATTGTATATATTTTATCTATTTCTATGTTTACAGTGGCTTCTGAATCTGTTTTTAGTACAGTTTATCATATACTTCACCAATTTTGAATTTTTCTATCTCTAACAACAATTCAATTATTTATTTGTTATTAAAATTAATTGCATCATGGATCAATTTCAATTGATGATGGAACGTTGATTAATGATTTTGAACCCTACAAAAACGTTGAAGTAGATAATTTTTCTTATAAATTTACATATTTTATTTTATAATTTATTAATTAATGCATTTTTATTTTTTATTATAACATGTTTAATTTTTTATTTTATAGAATTCAGTGAAAAGTTGCATATAGTAACATATGATAATTAGTTCACAAATTGATGCATTTATTCAAAATATATGGTAAAAATTCTATTTTTTTTATTTTTTATATCTTCTACTTTAATTTATCATGTTATCATTCTATATTTTGAATTTCAAGTATCAAAGTGGTACTATTAAGACGATGCTTCAATAAAGAATTTTGAAAGGAACTGAAAGTGCAATATTCTTGATATGTTTTTTTTATTGAAATGATGTGCAAATGAAGATTTTTTTTTTTTAGCTTGAAGTGTTTTATGATAATATTATTTGTTGTTTTTTCTTTAAGCCTTTTATAATTTAGATTAATTTGAATTTTAACTTATTGATGTGTAACTATATGTTATTTAAATTTTTTTGAAGCAGGAGAAAAAAATTAGGAAGGTAAAAAATATATTGAACATAAGATTGACAATAACAACTTAATATAAAGGAATATTTAGTGGAAAAAAAATTAAATATACTTTAATTTTTTTTAAAGAAAATTAGATATTATTAACATCAATTATAAGCCTCTCAAAAATCCACTAAAAGCCCATTATGAAGCCCATTACAAAGCCATAAAGATAATCATAGGTTTTTCTGGTTTTGGACCTAAAAACCCGGACCCAAATCAAACTGAAATTGGTCAGTTTGGACTGGTTCTGATTTGGGTCTCTTTTTTTGCCTTTCAGTTTAATTGGTTGTTAAAGATAAAAACTAAACCGAATCAGAAATAATCATTTCTATTATTAATAGTCTTTTTTGGTGCTTGTTAACTTGTCTTATTAATTTTTTTTTAATAATTTTGAAGGTGCTATTTTCAAAGGTTTAACATGTTTATGAGGTTTTATTCTTTTATTCTTTTTTGTTTTTAATTTGGAGTTTATGCTAGCTCATTTCTATACTTTTTAAAATATCACATGTAAAAAAAGATGATTATTGACTTACTTGGTATTAGATAGCATGTGTGAATCATATTAATCATTATTAATAATCTTTTTTAATGTTTGTTAATAATCTTTTTTAATGTTTGTGAACTTGTTTTATTAAAGTTTTTTAATGATTTTGAAGGTATTATTATCACATATTTGATATGTTTATGAAGTTTCATTCATTCATTTTTTCTTTATTTTTTTTTGTTTGGAGTTTGTGCTAGCTCATTTCCATACTTTTTAAAATATTACATGCAAAATTTACAATATTTTTTTACCGTGTTATTTTTATTTATATTAATTTCTTAATTTTAGAAAATTGAATAAATACAAAAATATGGTAGATTAGTTGATGGAGGTCACCATTGAGGTTGCCATTCCTATATTAATTGGAACTACAGTCCATTCTTCAAACATCAAAGCATAATCAAGCTCTAACACCATCCCATTGATAGTTCAAAACGAAAGGTCTAAAATTACTTCACAAATTGACCCAACTCTAGCATCATCAATATAATATGTTGCAATAAAGAAATTACATTAACTAAATTTTACAATACTCATACCAGTTTAGCTAAGAGTAGCCATGAACAACCACCAACTCCAATTTTATTGTGAATAAATTATTTTTTTATTTAAATTTTAATATTTAAAAGCTTACTGAATCCTAATTAATTATTGAATAGAAACTATCCATTAAAAAGTAAAGCTTTTTTAATGACGGTCTATTTTATTTACAAAACTCAAACTCAAGATCTTCTTTAAAAAAAAACAAGTATCAAATCCCTTAAACCAACTATAAATTATTAACTTACACTTCCTATTACTCATTTCCATATTTCATCCCATGACAAAAATCTTTCAACAAAAGGGACAATTATATTCTCAAAATTTCCTAATTTGGCTCTCATATCCATGTCAGCTGCTGTTTCCCATCAAAATTCTCCTAGTACTTTAAGTTAGCTATTAAGTATCTATGCATGTGTAGTGGTTAATTTGAGGTTAATTCATTGCATTTTGGCAAGTAAGTTTAAACATGCATGCATGTGTAGAGGTTCATTTGAGGTCATTTTATTAAATCTAGTTTCTGGCTGGTAGATAGACATGGAACTCGATGAAAAATTAGTTTGATTTTTTTTTATTTTTTTTAAAATAATATAATTTTAATTTTTTTAAATAAAAATTAAAAAAATATCATTTTAATCATGTAATCCAAGGCCACCCGCAATTCAGGAAACCAAGTCCAGAGTACTCTGAGCTAGCCAGATGCATGTGTAGTGCTCGAGGTTAATAATTGGAGAAAGGAATGTGAGTGGTAATAAATGCAAGAAGGTATATTGTTTTGTCTCATTGATTTGCCATGTGAAAATTTCATGCACTCTTCTAAAGAATCTGTTTTTTTTTTTTGTCCATAGAAAAAGAAAACACCGTCAGCAGCCACGCGATGTGTCAGATCAAAATGCTAAAATAAAAATAAAAATAAAGAAATAAGTAAATAAAATGCTAAAAAGACAAGAAGCTATCTGTAACAATCCAATGTAACAAAACAGGCTACAGTAATCAAGAAGTAAACTCATAGTTGATACTTGATAGTACCGAAAAACCATTTCAAGCTTTGTCCGATAAGGAAGAAAAAAAAGGTGTGACACTTATCCATGGCAATTTGCAGATTGAGAGCTTCACTGTCTCTATTGAAAACCAAATCTCCATTCTTTCACCATGTTCCACTTCATGGATTCTCTTCTTCACAACTATCATCCCAGTTTGAGGTAACCCTTTTAGTATCTCTTTCAATACTATAAAGTAATGTGTGGATACCCGTTTTGTTAGAATCACTGGTTTGGCATGCTTTAGATTAGAATCAAACTTCTAGTTCAAATGGGTTAGATGATGATGAACAACTCAATGAAAAGGTTGGTTCTTTGGATTCAAACAAGTCAAACAGAAGAGAATAATTTTAAAATCTTGATCTAAAAGAATTTTAAAGCTTGCTTCTTGGGGTTCTAACAAGTTAATTACATGGATAATCATATTATCTTTAAGAGAACGAGTTAGTAAAAAATATAGAATTATGTCACTGTCAAATAGTTCTGAATTCCATGTTTCAAGACTAAAGAGGGCTTTAAATTCTTGCTAATAGCTTTAAAATTCAAAATTCAAGCTTGTCTTGTGTATGAATTTCTCAGCAAGGCTACAACTAGTAATCTTTAAATAACAAAGTCAGTGGTTTGAAAATTACTGGAGAATGATTGCTGATTTTTTTTTTTCCAGATCAAATTGACTGAAGGAAAACTAAAATGGTATTCAACTTCGACAAATAAGGTTTCCACTAGTAAGGAATTTGCTTTCTTTTATGAGCCGATTACCTTAAGTAATTCGAGTCTTTATGTTCCTCACTGAATGTTCTGCAGGGTGTTTGAGTGAAAAAAGAGGCACAATCAAGTACTGTATGAAAATATGGAACTGGGTGTGAGTTGTTGTCAAGCTAGTAACATTTTTTATGACAATATTTCTATCAACTATGTGAAACAAAGTTCAAGGGGAGTTCAATTTAGTGTTGAATGAATGGTTTATTTCTAGCCCTGATCTGCACCCTTGAAACTGAAAAAGACTTCTTTTCTTCTTTGTTTTTGCCGGAAATGTATACTGTGAATGGTATATGAATTAGCTTGTTAAATCACATGCACTATGCATCAAGAAGAAGGATTGGCTGTTTAAATGCCTATTTCAGCTGAAACAATGTCACTTTTTTGCTTTATGTTTTTTTTTTTCTTGTTTTATAATGCTCTTCATGCCCTTTTCAATTGATTGGTGTACTACAGAGTGTAGGATTCATAGGGCTGGGAAATATGGGATCCAGAATGGCAAATAACCTGATCAAGAATGGATACAAAGTGGCTGTTCATGACATGTAAGTCATAAGCCTTTTCCCCTGTCGTGGCCATGGCTTCTGTAAATTGATTGAAACAAAGTTCTGTAAATAACAGGTTGAGTTTTATAATCTTTTGGCAACGCTAGCTGTTAGAGTTGTTGAACATAGTGAAAATGTTAACAGATATGTGCTGAGAGGAGCTGGCTTGCCTAAGATTGGCATTGAAAACTCTTTTGTCTGTGTTATAAACTTAGTTGCGTGGTTTAATATATGGAAGGTAATACATGCATCTATCTAATCACCTGGAATCAATGGTAAAATTCGATTTTATTTCAGAAACTGTAATGTCATGAGGATGTTTTCTGACATGGGAGTTCCAACGAAAGAAACACCATTTGAAGTTGCAGAAGCAAGTGATGTTGTTATAACAATGCTGCCATCTTCATCTCATGTAAGTATTGTAGTTCCATTCAGTCATGTCTGTGATGTTCAGGATATATGCAGCTCTGTGGTTACATACCGTTGTGTTCATATAATGTACTAACTTGTTAAGACATTGCTTCATCCTCTGTGTTATGTTACTGAATATTTTAAATATAAATATAAATATGAAAGCCTCTGCATTGCAACCCATAAAGTCGAAAGAGCTGGTGTTCCTTAGGTAAGGTAAGAGAATGAGCTCATCGAATCACACTATAATATAATTCCCAGTGGGTGGCATCAGGGATTTGGAAAAGAGTTCTCGGTTCTTAGAGATAAGAAATGGAAATATTTCATATCTATGGTTCTTCTTTTCATAAAAAGTCAAAGTAACCCTTTGATAATGTGCTTGTAGAAATGAGGCTTGAAACAAAATCATTCACAACATGTTTTGGCATGCTTGCAAGGATAAAGAATGGGGAAACTGGAAAGTAAAGCTAAGAATTGGGGGATTTAAACCATTCATGCTTCTGTAGCCTTTCATGAGAGATTTTAGACAGCAATGAGCCTATGACCATTGCTTAAAAAGCACCAATTCTCTGGATGACAACATTGAATATCAGCACACTTCTTGTGAAAAACTGAAACTTAAATCCCAAATGCAACGAAAATCTACTGCTGAAGTAGCTATAAAATCCTCTTCTCTAATAATTTATCCTGTGTATGGATGCATCCATATTTCTTCCTGCATGCTGTTTAATTTTAATAGTTTGAAAACTCAGATGTCTCAGTCTGAATCAATACATGCTTTTTGAAAGATTCCACCTTCTTCTTTTGTTTACCCTGCCTTGTCTGTCAGCATGAGAGCAGTAGTCTAAATGATGCAGGTATTGGATGTGTACACTGGACCAAAGGGTTTGCTTCGTTGTACAAATCCCATGAGACCACAATTGTTAATAGATTCATCTACAATTGATCCCCAGACATCGAGAAAAGTTTCTGTTGCAGTATCTAATTGTATTCTAAAAGAAAAGAAAGGTATCACTTTGTAGTGTTTTCTGTTACAAATCGTTAATGCTCTTCCTTCCCTTCCTCCCCTGTTCTAACAACGAATTATATCTCTTATGACTTGTGCAGGTTACTGGGAGAAACCTGTCATGTTGGATGCTCCTGTTTCTGGAGGTGTTCTTGCTGCAGAAGCTGGTACACTTACTTTTATGGTATGGTTTCTCACCTTTCTCAGAATCCCTTTTCACTTGCTCTTTATAAATTCCATTAGTTCCGTTTGAAGTTACTTTGTTGGGTTTAAGGCGGCAAGATTTGAGACCAGGGACGCCATACTTGGGGAGAGTATGTTGGTTTAGACTGCTATTATTCCACATAACATCTTAAATACCACCTGTGCTCTTCTTATAATTTACTTGAAGGGCAAAAGATTTTTTCACTCAGGTTGGTGGCTCTGAGGATGCTTATCTTGCTGCGGAACCCTTATTTCTTTCAATGGGTAAAAATGCAATTTATTGTGGTGGAGGAGGAACAGGTTCGGTAAGTTATCGCTAGCACTCAAAGCTAGTCCTATTAAGTTTATTTCGAACCATGGGTATTTATTTTCCAATTTATCATATGTTAAAAATCATGAGGGTTCAATTTTAGTCCTGCAACTGAGATATATAAATGGAAATGCAATCAATGAAAAAGGAATGCTATATTTCAGCACATGAGTGGAAAAATATATTCAATCTTCACCTCCTGGAGTTCACTTTTCAAGCATCTGATATCTCTGGTGCTGCATTTGTTGTTTAGGCAGCAAAGATTTGCAACAACTTGGCATTGGCTGTGAGCATGCTAGGGGTATCAGAAGCCTTTGTTCTTGGTCAGTCACTTGGAATTTCTGCTGGTACCCTGACAAAGGTTTTAAACACTTCAAGTGCTCGGTGTTGGAGTAGGTATCTGTCTTGACATTTACAGGTTTTACTGACATTGGATAGCTTGGCTTCAATTTCGAGTGACATTGTGAAGAAGCCAGCCTCTTAAACCAGTGACAGTTCCTTGTTTGGGTTCAAGTTTGTGCTAGAGAGTTAGTAGGAGTGACTAACTTCAAAATACCTAAGAAATGAAAATGAAGAACAAGAATCTCCAGTTTAAAATCTCTAAATATGATGAGTAATTACCTGGAAACCACTAATTTAACTGGATGAAATTTCCCACATGCAGTGATAGTTATAATCCAGTTCCTGGAGTGATGGAAGGCGTGCCAGCTTCAAGGAACTACGCTGGCGGATTTGCATCTAAGCTCATGGTGGGTGATTTAGCCTGTTTCTCGCTGATACTCGAATTATTATTGAGAAGGGATTTTGAAACCTGCCTGCCGAATGGCTGTTGTATCCTTACAATATTTGAGTGTTTGGCCTGCTCATGAGCATGATGAACATTTTCTTTTGTATGATGCAGGCTAAGGACTTGAACCTTGCTGCAACATCAGCCAAGGAGGGTGGTCTTCAATGTCCTCTGACATACCAAGCACAAGAGATGTAACTACCTCTGCTTCGTACAACAAATGACATTTCCATTTTTGAATCTCTTTTTTCTGAACTAACATGAAACTGTCGGAACTGAGTGCATATGATTTCTGCTTTCCTTTATCTTCAATGCATTCTGTGCAGATACACTGAGCTGTGCAAGGATGGACATGAAAGCAAGGACTTCTCCTGTGTTTTCCGCCATTATTACGGAGGCCAGGATGAACTTTAGCTGACCAAAGAGTGGTTTCTAGTAGCAGATAACAAGGGCCCTAGTGTTCATAAACTCTGAAGGTGGAACCATTATTAGAGCTAGTGAATTGATTGCCTCGTTCTGTATGAAATAAATTGTCACTGACAGGAACTGTCTCCCTTTGTGAAGCTTGGTGACCATATCCATCATGAATCACAAACTTTTACAATACAGAATGCTTCATATAGAGAAGGGCTATATGTTCTTCCTTTTCTGTCCACCTTAATTTCCTTGACAAAGGGCAAGAAACACTCGTTTTGGAAGACAGACTAATATCAACATAGTGAAACTTGTTCTTAGAGGATTGAAAATGGGAATGCAAATATACTGTATGATGATGATGATGAAATTGAAGATCAAAGATCCTCAAACTAGTAACAAGCAGCACAAAATGACAACAACAGGCTGATCCCATCACCCCAAATATTTGATGCAGTCAATTTTCATTCTATGAAAAGAGAGAAGGGTACATCATCTTTGAAAAGTCAACCACTGTAGGAGGGGCACCCTCCATGCCACTAGCAGCAGCAGCGTATCTTTGCCATATTAGCTAAAACATGGGCTATCTTATTATAGTGGACAAACATATGGATGTGATATCTTCCGCCTTATTAAATTTTATTTGAATATATCTGAAGCTGTATGTTTCTTCTCTCGCCGCAAGTCAAAATTCTAAAGAATTGTTTTAACTTATTATAATATGTTGCTTTCTAAAACAAAGTCATAGCATGGTTTTAAATTCATATATTTATTCCAATCTTGATAATTTATCAAAAGGAAAAGAAGATTGAGGGTATTTGAAAGTATAATAAAGGTTTTTTTTAAAAAAATATATTAAAATAATATTTTTTAATTTTTAAAATCAGCATGTCAAAATGATCAAAAAAATATAAATTAAATACTTTTTTTTCAAATTTTAAATGAAAAACATGTTCAATCTCAATGTAAAAAAAAAAAAGCATAAAATTCCCTTCTTCACCAAGCTGTCCCATTTCTTTTCACTCTTCTATTTTATTCTTTCCTTATCCGACACTTTAGAAGCTTAGAAACACATCGAACAAAATGAATCCTTGTTGTTTTGAAGTTATATTTGAAACCAATTTGGGAAAAGACATGGCTTATTAGGTGGCTGGAACCAACATTAACTGAGTAAATTATTATTATTAAAATAATATTATTTTATTTTGTTTCCTTAAAAAAGTTTTCGAGATATTCACCTAGCAAAGTTTATATTTACTTCGGTAAGATTAATCAGAAATTCGGTAAGATGAAATAAATTTCATTGTATTAATATTTTTCAAAATTTAACTTAAAATTCGATCAAAATTAAACTTTAGAATCATAAATTTTATTAGCCAACTCATCAAATAGAATCGAGTTTAACACCTTGCAATATAACATGTAAACACAATCTATTTATATCCAAAAGAAAAAAACTGTCTTTAAAAAGTATTCATCCCAACCCACCCGACCAGTTAAAAGCATAGATGACAAACCTGTGGAAAAAATGCATACCCTTGTTACTTTCAAGTACTAATACCTCAGTGCTTTCTGGGGAACTCCTTTCATGAGTTCCTTATGACCCTATGTGATGTCTTAATCTTCCGAAGTCCTCATAGACTATAAAGACCACCTCCTCCATCTCTCTCTATAACCCCAGAGAACCCATAAGGCAAAAACACTCTTCTTAGCGGAGAAGGAACTCAAGAGGCCAAACAAATCCACAGCCCCATTTGCATACGTTGTTCTTTTTCACAGGTACAACCCTCCCCCTCCCTGCTTCTCTGATTTTCTTTTATTGTTGTTTTTGAATGTATTTATGCATGCTTATTGTACAGTATCTGTACATACTCAGTCATACACTACAGATACGTCTATACATACGCATATAGGGTGACTTTTGAGCGTGGGAGATGGTAAAGTTTGTCCATTTGAGAATTTTGAGTTCTGGGTCATTTAGATTTTTGTGTTTCTATGCTTTTTGTTTCAATTACAGCTTAATTCTTCGCTTTGTTTTTCATTGATTGCATAAAGCTCGTGTCTTTTTATGTATGGGGCTGTTTGGTTACTGAGAAACCTCAGAAACAGATGTGTTTTACTATTCCAATTGCTTAATTGTTGTCTTTTTTTCACAATGATTGCCTGAGGTTTGTTTCTTTATTATACTTGTTGTTGTTATTATAATTACTAACATTTTGATAAAAGTTGGTGTCCTTATTATATACCACCTGTTACTCGTAAAATTTTAATAATGTGTGCATGTAACGTTTATTAGAGCCTTTGTGGGTTGCTTATGGAAAATGGAGTGAAGCAAATGTATTTATTTTTAAAAATTGCTTAATTATGCTCTTTATCCTAAACTGTCTTTTATTTATTTATTTTTATGTACGTGGCTGTTTGGTTTCTGAATAAAGACAAAGAGCAAATTGGCTTCTAGCATTGTGCATTTCATGATAAAGTTTTGTTTTATGTAATTGAATTTGTTTTCATTAGTAACAGTTATATGTGTGGTTGTGACTTTTATTAGAACTTTTGGAGGTTGCATATGGAAATTGGAGTGAAGAAGACAGTTTTTACACCTAAGGCTATCATACACCAAAAGTTTGGTAACAAGGCATGCTATACGGTCGAGGAGGTAAAGGAGGAGTCAGCTCAGAATGGATGCCCAGGATTGGCAATTCCTCAGAAAGGCCCCTCTCTATTTCGGTGCCGGTTAGAACTTCCAGAATTTACTGTTGTTTCTGATATCTGCAGAAAGAAGAAGGATTCCGAGCAGTCTGCTGCTCATTTGGCTTTAAAAAGGGTATGCTTTAGCTTCCTTCTTATGATTTTTCCAATTTGATTGAACTTTCCTCGTGATGAAAGACAGACTAACTTAGATGGATATGGAATTGATTATTTGTTAATTTTAAAGTTTTGTTGGTTATTTCCTCTGCCAGAATGTAGATACTTATTCTGTGTGACTATGTGAGGAGATTAAGTTGTTCTTTGGACAGCGCAATTGCTTATAGAGAAGCAATGTATTTTTTACACATTTGCTCTTTTATTCATCATGTTTTATTTGAGATTAATTTATCATGCAGTTTTCAGCTTTTCTTCTGCTATAGTTTAGTTCATTAAACTGAAGACTGATGTAGATCTTTCTTTTGTCCCTACCTTCTTTTTTTGGCAATGTAATTTAACTACTTAACTGTTTATTTACTATTTATCCTGCAGCTAGGCAACAATCCTGCAGATGAAAACCCATCTGAAAAGGATCCTTGTGATGCTTTGATTGATCGAATCAAATATATATTTACAGACGAGGTTGGTAGTTTGTATAGAACTGAATTGTATAACAGTTTGTGTTCTACATGTAATACTTGCAGATCACTTGGTTTTTGCCAGTCATATATATGCAAGAATCCTTGACTTGGTTTGTGCATAATGATGTGCTCTAACCTCTCCTCCTTTATGTTTGGGTCTTTGTTAGTTCCTTTCATCTCTTCATCCGCTGAGTGGTCACCTTAGAGCAGCTTTGCAGAGAAAAGGTGGTCTTTATGGTCTGATACCTGCTTCTGTCATTGCTGCCTGTGATACAAAGACAAGTAATCTGTGTAAATTACTCAACACTGAGGTGGAATCAAAACCCTTTTTGGCTTTGTCATCAATTATGAGGGCTATACCAAGATTAGCAGGGTCTGTTGTAACATCCAAGGGGCAGCTTTCAATTCAGAAGCAAAATCCATATCCCACTGAGATTATAGAGTCATCAGATATTCAGCAATCTGGTTCCCCAGAAAACATATTAGTTAAAGCAATACAGATCCCAGCTTCATTGGACGAGACTATTCAGCCATTGACTCTTGATATTTCTTCTTCTGGATATTACCTGGATGTTATTGCACAAAAACTTGGTGTAACAGATGCCAGCAAAGTTTTGCTCTCAAGGTAGGTGGAATTAGTTATAATACAGAAAGCCTGAGATGGTGTATTTTTTCGCCTAAATTGGGTTCCTTATTCCTTACAGATATGACATGATGTGATGTTGTTTTCTTGTTTGGAAGATGCCTTATTCTTCTTTTTGTAGCATCATATTCTGTTTTATCAAATAATGTTTTTTCTTTCCTATCAAACTGGAAGAAGAATGACTGTTTTTTGGAACCACTACATACTTTTTCTCCAACAGGACTATTGGTAAAGCTTCTTCTGAGACAAGATTGTATTTTGCTGCTTCTGAATCACTTGTGATGGAACTATTGTCAGACCATGCAAATGTGAAAGATTTTCACGTAGAAGGACTTTTGAATGCAAGGGCAAACTACTTCTGTGGTCAAGAAATATATGGTGATGCAATTATGGCATCTGTTGGATACACATGGAGGTCTAAAGAACTTTTCCACGAAGATGTGTCCCTCCAATCATATTACAGGTCTCTTTTGAATTCTTTCCCATGAATCTCTTGTTTTACCATCATTAGTCTTTTCTGTCTTCTCTCTGCAATGTTGTTCAAACCTTAGTTTTGATGCAAGTTTGATGTGCTTCGGTAGTACAATGCTTAGTTCATGTTTAATAATGTCACTGAAGGTTAAGCTTTTTGTTGAATTAAATTCAAGTTATTCATTCTAATATGATGCCATTTTATTGTTGGATTTTCAATTGCACATAATTTGCTTGATATAATCCATCCATCTTCTTCATCTTCTTTTTGAAATTTCTTATATGAAGATGAACACTGAACTTTTTTTTCTTTCTCACATAATATTTTTGCTGGATATACTCCTTTTATTTGTTATTTTCTTTTTTCATAATTGCTTGTGTGAAGATGAATACCAAACTTTTTTTTTAATTAATCAACTGTTGTATGGTCTATTACTTAGAATTTAGACCATTTTATTGCTCCATATTAATTACTGTGGCAATGAATGACCCCTACAGTTTATCACCAAAGTTTGCATCTCCTATGCAATGCACGCACTGTTCCATAATGTACTTTAATACACTAAGCCTTCAACAATTCATTATTTAATCAATTTAGATTGGCTTATTCAGGATGCTTTTAAGCAAGATACCTAGTGGAAATTACAAGTTGTCTCGAGAAGCAATACTTGCTGCAGAGTTGCCCTCCGTATTCACTACAAAAACAAATTGGAGGGGTTCCTTCCCAAGGGAAATCCTATGCACATTCTGCCGTCAGCACCAGCTATCTGAACCTATCTTCTCCATTACAAGTATTCCTTTAAAGGCATCATGCAAGTTACCAAGATCACAGAAGAAGTTGAAGGTTACCGAGGCAGCTGAACTAGCAACTGAATACACTAATGGAGGAAGTTTAAATGCTGGTGGAGAATCAGTAGGACTGGAAAGCAGCTTTAGGTGCACAGTAAAAGTATTTTCCAAGGGTCAGGATTTGATCATAGAGTGTTCCCCTAGGGAGATTTATAAGAAGCAAACTGATGCTATCCAGAGTGCTTCTCTGAAAGTTCTCTCATGGTTAAACGCATGTTTCAAGGACCTTGGCATGCCTTTGGAGAAGCTAAATTGCTCTGCTGATGCCCTCAACATTAGCTTATCTTCTGAAAACTTTCTTAAAGAGTTTGCTTTATGCCAATCTCTTCATAATGTTCAGCAAAGTCGGTGTCAAGGATCCAAATTACCTGAATCAAAAAGTACTAATATGGAATATACTTTGTCAGGACAAGATGTTTGCTTACCAAACATTGAAGGCTCATATTCCGGTGTCTGCCCCTCCAATGGATCCTTGTTGAGTATAAGTTACTCTGTGTCCTTGGTGACAGAAGGTGGACATACAAAAGAGCTTATTGAAAGTAAAGATGAATTTGAGTTTGAGATAGGGAATGGAACAGTGGTTTCCACTCTTGAAGGAGTTGTGACACAAATGTCAGTTGGCCAGTGTGCTCATTTCAACATGAATTTGCCCCCTCAAGAGTTCATTTTAGCTGCAGTTGATGATCCTGCAAGGATTCTTTCATTGTTATCCTCAGGTAATTATGTGCTTCTTGACATCTGATTGATGATTTTCGCAACCTTGGTTTTGAATTATTGGTCTCTATTTTCAACCTAGATCAAAACATAGATAACCTAGTTAATGTAGTGAATCAAGACATGGGTGACTAAATTGATTTACTTTCCTAAAACTTTGGATTTTCCAATAAGGAAGCAGATCTTATCCATTTCTTTATTTATCTTTGATTTGGAGATTGAGATTGGTGCTTTTTATTAATTCTTGAGATGAATCGCTCTTTTTGTTGTTAATTATTTCTTCTTATAATGACAACCATATATGACATGAAGGGAACAACGAGCATGATTTGTTTCTCCTATAATTATTAGAAACAGAACTGACTTACTATATAATGGAATTTATGTTATATGACAACCTGTACTTGTACTCTTTGAAAATGAAAAATCTTAGTTTATGACATAAATTTAGTTTAACAATTGGATCTGACATCTAACTTACTCTGAAATGATCTTCTGTGTTCCTGTTTTGGCAGAAGTTTGCTGCTTAGAATACGATGTAACCTTGTTGCGAGTGACAGAACCACCAGAAGAAAGAATGGAGCAGGCTCTTTTCAGCCCTCCGCTCTCCAAGCAACGGGTGGAATATGCTGTGCAGCATATTAAAAAATCCAGTGCTACAACTTTGGTACATATTTTTTATTTTTTATTTAACAGTAAACAACAGAATGTTGAGTTTGCAATTTTTATCACTCACCATTTATCTTCTTTGTCTCTGACTTTTTTTTTTTCAGGTTGACTTCGGATGTGGCTCTGGAAGTTTATTGGATTCTTTGTTAGATTACCCAACTTCACTACAAAAGATTGTGGGTGCTGACTTATCAAAGAAGAGTCTTAGCCGTGCTGCAAAGGTCTGAATCATTTCTGAGCAATGTTTCTCTGCTATGCTCTATGCCCTTTATTTGTTTGTTAGCTACACGCTTGAATTAGTCACATGTCTTGGGTATTGTTAATTATGCAGATACTGCATACCAAACTGAGCACAAAGTCAGATACAGGCATCAAATCTGCTATTCTTTATGATGGTTCCATCACAGAGTTTGATCCTCGATTGTGTGGATTTGATATTGGCACTTGCTTAGAGGTATTTACCTTCCTCCTGTGGCACATTTTTTGCTCGTTTGGAGCTCTTGGGTTAGCATGCTAGTGTGATTTTTCTTTTTTGTTTCTTTGGCTGGAATATCATACAATGGTGGCAGTATCTATCAACAAATATGTTTTGCATATTACATAATTTTGAACATTTAGAAAGGGAATTCGTGTTTGCCTTTGATTGTGCTATGTTTTGGATTCCCAGAATTTTTGGGGTTTATTGACATGTTTTATCTATATATTATTGTGCCAGTCTACAACCTCCCTGTGAATGTTGGGAGAGCTCAAATGTGCCTTACAAAATTAACTTATATTAGTATTTTGAAAATTGATTAGCCCTCTGTTGCCTCTAGTTGTGCCAAATTCTTATTCTTCCTATGTTAATAGTATCTCCACACTGCGTTTTCTCAGGTGTAATTGTACTGCCAGAAACTTTTAGCATCATTAAAGATGTCGTTTCTATAAATCAATGAACTGGTTTCCATCTCCTCTGTTTTTCTTATTTTCACCTGATGTCTTTGAGCTTATAGGTAATTGAGCATATGGAGGAGGAACAGGCCTGTCTTTTTGGTGACATTGCATTGAGTTATTTTCGTCCAAAGGTTCTTATAGTTTCCACCCCAAATTACGAATACAACGTGATTCTACAAGGATCCAGTCCCACAACTCAAGAAGACGATCCAGAGGAGAAAAGCCAGTCACAGTCATGTAAATTTCGCAACCATGACCACAAGTTTGAGTGGACAAGAGAGCAGTTCAACCATTGGGCATCAGATCTAGCCAAGAGGCACCATTACAGTGTCGAGTTCAGTGGGGTTGGTGGTTCTGGTGATGTGGAACCAGGCTTTGCATCGCAAATTGCTGTCTTTAAACAGGAGAGCCTACTTGATGAAAATGATCTTCCAACGCAAGAAAATTCCTCTGAGCATTGCAAAGTTATATGGGAGTGGAAGCGCGATGATAGATCGGTACCCTCTTCGACAAGAAACTAATTTTTAGCGTTTCTAAACCACACCCTGGCAAAGATATTAGTTAATTAGTACAGCCCTGTACTGATATATTACATTATTTCTAGGAAGGAGAAAGTATCTAACAGAATGAGGCAAGTGCAGGCTCAGAAAAGATGCATTTTTTCTTGCTGCCGGACCAAATATTTTGGCAGTGAAATGAAGGGATTGCATGTTCTTATTCGTTCAAAGACCCCATGCCATTTATGAATACTGAGAGAATTCCTGCCTAATTAATACAAGTCTATTTTGATCATCTATATGTATCTATGTTGGTTTGTTTTACATGCAAAATCATTTACCGATTCATTTTCATATCTTACTGTTTTCGATTATTTCTAAAAAATAAAAAAAAATAAAAAATAAAATGGATAGATCATAGAGATTTTGAGAATAGTAACCATGAAACTTAGTCCAATTTAGTGGGTTGATTTTGGCAAAGTCATTACCCTAAGCTTGATTTAGACTTGTTTTTCAGTTTTTTTTCGGGGTTATGATTTAACCTGTTTTTCATAAAAAAATGAATTTATTTTTGTTTTAAATTAATTTTTTTTAGAATGTTTTGAGATAAATATATTTAAAAACTATAAAAATATTTTTTTAATTCATTTAAAAAAACAACTTTAAAAAACAATAATTATCATATTTTCAAATACCTTCTTTTTTAATATTTAGCCACACTTTGATAAATCAACAAGTTAATCTTAATCAATTTTATTAAACTTGATCTCCATTGATTTTATTAAACTTGATTAAAATTCTATCAAGTTAATTTTAAAGAATTTTTTTCTAAATAAATAAAAAAAAATCATATATACCTAGTTGATTTCCAGTAATTTATTTAGGATTAGACCCTGGAAATATTACTATCAAGCAAATGTTTTTTACTTAACTTTAAAAAATATTCAATCCCTAAAAAGAAAGAGTAAAGAAATAAAAAAAAAACAGAGTGATTTTCGAAATATAAAATAAAATGTACACAAACACAAGTGCAAAACGCCACACGTGCGAATTCCAACGGCTAGTTGTTATAAAACGGCTAGTCTTTCCTGTTTTCACATTTTCACCTTCCCTTTTGCTTCCCTCAATCATCACACCTCTCTATGATTTCTCTCCTCTCTCAATAAAAAATTTCCTTCACTTTCTCTCTAACCAAGCAAAAACGAACCTCCTATCATTCCCTTCACGAAAAACGCATTTCTTAGAGTTCTTTTCTTATATGACTTTCTTGAAAAAATTCAAAAAAAATTAAAGGTCTTAAAGATTTGCACTTTCTATTGAAAATGTGGTCTAATAACAACGAAGACAAGAATTCTCCGGCGAAGGGATTCTGGACACCGCCGGCGTCATGGAGGTCTCAACATTTTCCGGCGGTTGCCATGATGCCAATGTCAGAGAGGAAAGAAAGGGTGTCTTCTCCTAGTTGTAAACGTGATATTTTTCATGTTATTCATAAAGTCCCTGCCGGTGATTCTCCTTATGTCAGAGCCAAACACGTCCAGGTAATAACTTTTAAGGGTTGTTTTGTTGTTTCGATTAATGGTTTTTATGGGGTTTTTGAAGAAGTTTTAGTCTTGGCAGGTTTTGAGTTTAGTTTCAATCCTTGTTCAATATGTTGTTTTAGTTGGAAAATACTTGGGTTCTTGAAGAGTATTAGTTATCTAATGGTAGATAAGTTTCATGAATTTTTGTGGGTTCTTCTTCGTTTTTTGTGTTTTTTTTCCTATTCTACGTTTACTTACAAATTATCTGTTTGGTTGAAATTGGGAGAGGAGATTAAACTGTGGATTTATGTCTGTTCTTGGTTAATTAATAATTGAAATGCCAAATTATTCCATAACTTGATTTTAATCTCTCTTTTTTTGGAGAACTTCCTTTGAAATTTCTGGTTCTTGAAAGTTAAATGTAATCTGTCTTGTGAATTTCCGGGTTTGGATAATACAGGTTAGAATGAGATTTGACATATCATGTCTCCCTATTGATTTTTAGGAGAATAGAACTTTTATTTGCATGAAAAATCACTCGATTTCACATGGTAACTGCTGCAAGGTAAGAAATGTGAGAAAAGGAAAAGGGAATTGAAATAAATAGAGTCATGAATTAGACATTGTCACTTGATAAGGGGAATTAAGGCACTGAAGTAGTAACGAGTAATACAATTAGCTTATACCACTATGAGCTATTAGATTATTTGTTAGTTTCCTTGGGAAAGAAGATAAGGTTAATTTGTTGGAATGTCAAAAACTGTAATGAAATGTACCTATTCACATTTCATTACAGTTTTTGACATTCCATTTTAGGCTCCTGGATATCTTGACTGTTTAAAGAGGACTCACTAATGGATGATTTTTGGAACTTAATTGGATATATTAATTTTCGGGTTCGGATTCTGTGTTTGTGTTTGATTTTGATAGTTGAATCTTTTATTACAGTTAATAGAGAAGGATCCAAGCAAGGCTGTTTCCCTATTCTGGGCTGCTATCAATTCTGGGGATCGAGTTGATAGTGCCTTGAAAGACATGGCAGTGGTGATGAAGCAATTGGATCGAGCTGATGAGGCAATTGAGGCGATCAAATCCTTTCGTCATCTCTGTCCCTATGATTCCCAGGAATCTATTGACAATGTGCTAGTTGAACTTTACAAGGTGAAATGCTACCTTTTCCATCTTTGCAAACTGTACTATTTTGTCAATAATTGACTCTGATGATTTGGTAATGTGATTTCTCCATTATTGACATTTCATGAGGAAAATCTATGTAAAGAACCATCTTAGATCATTTATGAGTTGTCTTGGGAAAGCATCCTTGCAAGGTTTCCTAGTTTTCTGCACTAATGTTGAAGAAATCATCTGTTGCAATGGTGCTGTTTTAAACAAAATGGAACTCATTCAGTTTGAAATGTAGTTAAGGTCTGAAATTTTCTTCTATATCAGGTTTTTTAATGAATGCAAAGGCGTTCACATTTCATACGTAGTGCAGGTCAATCTGTTTTTTTGTTAGATGGTAAAGATAATTATTATTTTCAGAGACCTAGGAGATATTGTTGAGTTAGAAGCATGCATTTGCGATGTGTGTGGCCAAATAATTTTCTGTTTGTTTTGAGGAATCTGGTTAGCACATCCATTTAGCTCCCTGAGGCTGTTGTCACAATATATTGGATGGATTGTGAAGCATGTTTATATCTCGAGACTTTTCTTCTTTCGCAGAGATCTGGAAGGATTGAAGAAGAGATTGAAATGCTTCAATGCAAACTGAAGCTCATTGAAGAGGGTATTGCTTTTTCTGGCAAGAAGATAAAGACTGCCAGATCTCAAGGGAGGAAGATTCAAATAACTGTTGACCAAGAAAGATCAAGGTGATCCCACTTGTTTTGCGTCTTTCCTATTTATACTGCATACCTCTGGTTGTTATTTCATTTTGACTGATGCAGGATATTAGGGAATTTGGCGTGGGCTTGCTTACAGCATCACGATTATGGTTTGGCTGAACAATATTACAAGTAAACTATTTTTCTCCGTTGGAAGATAGACCTAGACATGAAAATGGCGATCTTCTTCATGAAATAAAATTTGATTTTCAGGAAAGGTATATCTTTGGAGCCAGATCAGAACAAGCAGTGCAACTTGGCTATCTGCTTGATGCACATGAACAGAATTCCAGAAGCAAAATCTCTGCTTCAAACCGTAAAAGCTTCATCTGGAATTAAACCAATGGATGATTCCTATGCTAAATCTTTCCAGCGTGCCTGTCAAATCCTGACTGAATTAGAGTCACATTTAATAGTTAAACCAACCGAACAAGATGAAAAAGTTCACCAAAGGTCTTTGGCATTGCCTACCACCAGAAATTTGAAAGAGATTGCTAGCTCCCGGAATGGAGATGTTTCGGGATTCGTGGACTCTAGAAAGTGCACAGGTGTATTTAATGAAGATAGAGTGCTGTCAGATGAACATAATAGAAGATCTTATTTGCAGAATCACTCTGAGAATGAGAAAAGCTTCTTTGCATCCAATAATAGGAGTTCTCAATGTATATCACCTGGACTGAGAGGTGGTCCCCAGTCTTCTCCACAAACCGCAGTTGAAAATAGCTGGAGGAGAGATTCTAGTTTTGCCAGCCCAGGTGAAAGGCTTGGTTTTGCCAGCAAAATGCAGGATTATCGGTTTAGTTTTGCTGAAATAGGCCCAAGTTCAGAACAGAAGAAGACATTTACATCTCCAGCCATACATACACAACCAAGAAGATGTTGCTGGGGGTTCGATAATGTAGATCAGAGAAGGATAAGGTGGGGAGAGGATACAGCTGAGACAGAAAAAGAGAATGCAATCCGGAATCTCTCTGGAAAACTATTAGACTTAACTGATAATCATACAAGCTGGAAAAGAAATGTTCAGGAAAGTGGTCGCCAAAGGAAATCTGCAACAGAAGACAGTAACACAAGTCTAAAGTGTTCCACGGAGCAGACCGTGGTTATTGACAATGCAGGGGTATCAAAAGCCTCCACTACTTGTGACTGGGATCAATCAGCAGAAACTTTTGGAAATAAGTATCTTGGAAAGGACAGCTCACTCAAATCTCATCGCAAGAGTTGGGCAGATATGGTTGAAGAAGAAGAAGAAGAAGAAGAAGTGGACCTGTTAACTACAGACCTTGGCCAGAGTTTCCATAGTTGGAATTATGAAGGAGCATGCAGTGATGAAAATCTAAATGTCAACACATTTCATCAGAATTCTTACCAAAAGAATCAGCTAGGAACTATATGTCAAAAACTTGAAGCAGCTGATCTTCAAGATGGCTATGCTACATCCTTGAATGCAGTTTCATCAAGGAATTCCAATGCGCGACGCTCACTGTCTTACGAATCTGCAGAGGATGTGAATACAAAGAGGAGAAACAGGTTGCAGGTTTTCCGAGACATAACTCCTACTCCAGATAGTCCATGAGCTTGAATCAAAATACGTCAGAAGTGGATATAATTCAGTGATGTTTGAGAGTTTTTGAACTGCACCGATCAAAATCATGTAATATGGAGTGTTTATTCTTTTTTCTATCTCAAATTTTTTCTGCTTGGTGAGATACTGTTGCATCAAGCATTGTGATGTCTTTTTCAGGCCTTCTTCCCGCCTTCATTGTTTCCTTGTATAGTGAGTGTATCCATGTCACTCATCAATCATGATATTAAACACAAAACTTCTAGTTCTGATTAGCTAGTTAGTTGCGGATCTCGTATCACTAGGCTATGTAGATAATTTTGTAGAAATATTTATGGAGCTCTTTATGATAGAACTAAATCTAAAGAATATGTGAATTGCATAAGATGATGAATAACTTTTGATTTGATGATTGTATTATATTTATATTCAGTTAAGAAATTTTACTAGTTTAATTCTATAATGGGATTGACTAACTGATTAAAATTTAAAAGATCTTTAAATTAGATTTAGAAAGTGATAATTATATTAGTGTTGTTGTTTTTCTCTTTATTTTTGAATTTTCTAATTTATTTTAAATTTTTATTATGTTTTTCCTTTCTAATTCAAATTTTTAGTTTTTTTATCTTGTTTAAGTTAATTATTCTGGGATTATTAAAGAAATTATAAATTTTTTAAAGAGACAAACTACTTAAAAATAAAATATTCAATAAAAAAATTTCTAAATAAAATTTTTATGTAATTATTTTTTTTCAATATATTTATTGTTATCGTTTTTGTATTATTTTTATATCCATTAATTTTTAAACAATTTATAAAATATCAATTGAAAAATAGATAGTGACATTTCTTCTTGAGAAGAAATTCTAATAGAATTAATAACATGAGAAATATATTTTTTTTCCTTTGACTTTACTATTGATTCATACACAGGAACAAAATATATTTTTTTTAAACTTTTCTCTTGGATTTAATCCCAAAATAGGAACATGCTAACCTGGTCCAAGGGTGAAAATAAAAACCCAATATTTATAGGAAGAAGCTAAAAAGATAGAACTTTGGAGGGCCAATAATATAAATTCAATATAAAAAGATAGAGCTTTGGAGGGACAATAATATAAATTCAATATTTCAAACAACCAATATGCAACACCAGCTGAAAGAGTGAAAAATCCAATTTCTTTTTCTTTTTTTCTTTTTGTGAAATCAACTTTTTTTCTTGACCGGCTCTCGTATTTACAGACACTAGACTAAAAACAAGCAGCAGCAGCACCGCCGCCGTCACAACTCTTCATTAACTATCACCACCATCTTTCTCAATTACTAGGTAACTCTATAACAATCTCCTCCATTTTTCTTTTATAAAAGTTCCCATCTTTAATTTCTCACTATATACTCTAAAGTTCTACATTCTGATAAAGTTTGTAACTTTATACTAAAATTCTCATTTCTCATTATGTCCTTTATCGTGATTAATCTGATTGATTGAAGGTGATTAATGGACTCCCAGCTTCTGTTACTTAACAAGAACAACACTTTAACAAAGCTTCCACAATTCAGTTTCTTTGCTTCTCCAAAACCCAGATACAACCCATCTTCTAATTTCTTGGGTATGTATTCCATTTAAAAAGTTTCAATTTTGCTTTTTTTTTTTTAAATTCTTCTTGTTATTGTTAATTTGATGGGTTATTTTTCTTCTCTGTAGTTGTTGAAGGGTTTAAGTTGAAGAGAGTAATGTGTGCAATGAAGTCATATAGGTTGTCAGAACTTAATAATTCAGAGGTTGAGAGTTTGAAAGCTCGGCCTCGTATTGATTTTTCTTCCATTTTTGGAATTGTAAGTGACCCTTTTGTTTTGTTTTGAAAAAGGGCGTTTTTTTTTCTTTAAATTTAAGATTGTTGTATTGAAGTTCTGATAAGCTAATTACTGATAGGCTGTATTGTTTTTTGTTGGTTTTTAGGTTAATCCTATTGTTGATGATGTTCGTCAAAGAGGTGATGCTGCAGTTAAAGAGTTAGTGATTCTTTAATTAGTACTTTATCTTTATTGTTTTACCATGGAGCTATTTTTAGTAAAGAGGCTATGTTTATATGTTCTTTGTAGTTATACTTCAAGATTTGACAAAGTCAAATTAGACAAGATCGTCGAGAATGTTTCTGAGCTTCCTGATCCGGAGGTGAATTCCAAAAACATATCTTTTAGTAGAAGAAATTCCTTGCACTTCTTATTTTATCTATTCAGTGATTTGTATGGTTTGCTATTTTTGGTCCAAATGTTACTTCAAACATTCCATCTTTTGGCTTTTGCTGTATTGCAGCTTGATGCAACTGTTAAAGAAGCATTTGATGTGGCGTATAACAACATATATGCATTTCATCTTGCTCAAAAATCAGCTGAAAAAAGTGTTGAAAACATGAAGGTATGTCAATACTAGAGATTTGATCTTGCTTTACTGCATATTGTGTTGATACAAAGCTTAGACAGTTCAAAATATTTTAGGGTGTTATTTGCAAACGTGTGGCTCGAAGCATTAGTTCTGTAGGTCTTTATGTACCAGGGGGGACTGCAGTTTTGCCATCCACAGCTCTGATGCTTGCTATTGTAAGTTGATTGCATTGTGTATCAATTATTTTGGCTGGTTCAAGTTCTAATCTTTATTATGATTGCCACATTCTCGTTAAGTTTGTTTGGTTGACAGTTTAGTTTTTTTTTGTAAACCAGCCTGCACAAATTGCTGGGTGTAAAACTGTTGTCCTTGCGACTCCCCCAGCTCAGGATGGCAGCATATGCAAGGTGTTTTTTTTTTTTTGGCTTTTTAAATGTTATACTCTTACAAAGCATGTACTCAATGAGATGGTCTTCTGTAGGAGGTACTGTATTGTGCCAAGAAGGCTGGTGTCACTCACATCCTTAAAGCTGGTGGAGCTCAGGTTAGAAAACAAACTTGTGACTATTTATTTTGTGCATTTGGCACAGTTATCTTTATTGTATTCATGTTCCTACTGGTCTTATGAACTTTTGATTTCTAGGCCATATCTGCAATGGCTTGGGGAACAGACTCTTGCCCTAAGGTATTTATTTCTCATCATCTTATTTCCCAATTGTTAGTAGCTGAAGCTGATAATAAGAACACATAATCCTTTTATTGGTCCTCTGTGGTCTTTATTCTTGTGTTTTGCATTTTCTGTTTGCTAACCAGAGTATGTTTACTATGGAATTGATAAACAAAAAAGCTTATTTTGTTTTCCATTTCAAATGCTAAATGTACGCTCTTTAGGTGGTCCTGCATATATTGGGTTTCTCTCTTTACCTCACTGTAATTCTCTCAAATTTATGTTAAAAATCTTGTTGAGAAATCAGCAAAGATAGTTTTGTTGATAATTTTTCAAATGAGAAAGTCAACTTTCAAACAAGTTTTGTATTAACACAAGATACAGCAAGCTTCAATATTTAGAAGCTTTTTAGTTACTCTGGATAGCTAATTCTTTACTGGTTGTAATGAGCTAGCTTTTTTGGGTTGAAATTTGTAGGTTGCAAAGATTTTTGGACCAGGAAATCAGTACGTGACAGCTGCAAAAATGATTCTCCAAGTATGGATACTCTCATCAATAGAAGTTATTGAAGTCTATTAGTCTAAGAAACTCTATCTCTTTCCCTGTCTGGCTAGAAAATGCTGATCTTTTTTCCAATTTGACTCCTTGTTTTTTCTTTTTTTTACATAACAGAACAGTGAAGCAATGATTTCAATTGACATGCCTGCTGGTCCTTCTGAAGTTTTAGTCATTGCTGACAGATATGCTAGTCCTGTTCATATAGCTGCAGATTTACTATCCCAGGTGCTTAGCCCGTTTCCTTTTAGTTTATATATATATATATTCATGTTATGTGGGTGGCACATATATTTCATCTGCATATAATCCTCCCTCGTTAATGAAATCTACGTTGTGATAGATTTGTATGGAAAGCAGAGGAAAGCAAAATTATTTTGCCCCCTGAGATAAAGCAGGATAAACTGATATATCAAAATGCATTGTCTTATACTTAGTTTTATACTACATTATGCAATATGAAAAGATATTTACGATGTGGTATATTTAGTTCTCCTTATGGTTGAATCTGTGCTCCATCTCAGGGCAGTATACTGAAATTTTCACCGTCACATTTTTCAATCATCAATGTAAAAAGTTAAATCAAAATTTCCTTTAAGACCTTTTTCAAAGCCTTGATTTTGTACCAGGGATTAGATGTTTGTTGCTTTCATTTATGCCAGAGATTATCTTTTCTGATGTTTTTATTAAATTCTTTGAATTTTCCAGGCTGAACATGGCCCTGACAGTCAGGTTGTTCTTGTAGTTGCTGGGGATGGTGTGGATATGAAAGCCATTGAAGAGGAAATAAGTAAGCAGTGTCAAAGCCTACCAAGGGGTGAATATGCTTCAAAAGCCCTGAGCCACAGTTTCACTGTCTTTGCTCGAGACATGGTTGAGGTCAGTCCACTGTTTGAAAATTCATACCTGTGTATTTGTTGCTTCAATCCTATGAAAGTTGCTTTCTCTGCATTTTTAAGATGGTGGGATCTAGAATTATATAGGAAGCAACTGCATAAGTTCTTACTGTCTAATGAATTGTAACATGCAGTTGTTGAATCATAATTATCAGAATCTTCATGCTACTAATTGCATTCTATGTTGTTAACAAGCATGAAAAATGTTTTTGACAAGCCCAAGTACATTTCCTCCCAGACTGTTCTCATGGATTGTTTGGCATTTTAGGAATTGCTAAAAAATTGTTTTGTATACTAAAAACTTGATTATTGGGTCTTTTAGGCTGTCTCCTTTTCAAACTTGTATGCACCTGAGCATCTGATCATTAATGTAAAAGAAGCAGAAAAGTGGGAGAGCTTTATTGAGAATGCAGGTATGGTCTTTCAATGCTATCTAGTATTTCTCTTCAGCTTTGTTGCCATCTATGTCGACATTGTTACTATCACCTTCGATGCCACACTCAATTTCTACCTTTGAAAACAAGTGAATGCCCCGCTCCAACTGTTCTAAAAGAGAACAAATATATGACACAGCCTTGGATAATTTTCACTGCAGGTTCTGTGTTCCTGGGTCCGTGGACACCAGAGAGTGTTGGGGATTATGCCAGTGGGACAAACCATGTCCTTCCAACATATGGATATGCACGGATGTATGGTGGGGTATCCTTGGACTCTTTCCAGAAATACATGACGGTGCAGTCTTTGACAGAGGAAGGTCTTAGAAAGCTTGGCCCATATGTGGCAACCATGACAGAAGTTGAAGGACTGGAAGCTCACAAGAGAGCTGTAACTCTCAGACTTCAGGATATTGAAGCCAGACAGGTTTCCAATACGAGATAGTGTATCGAATAGGCACCTGATCTTCAATATGTAATTATTTTTTGGGACTAAATTGTTAGCCCACTTGAGTCGACAAAAATCCTCACCTTGTTTTATCCCTAAGAAGTTTTGGCATGTAATGTAACTTAACCCTTTGAATCATAAATAAATCTCTTCTGGTTCATGTCCTTGAAAGGTGCATAGATATTGAATGGTACCATCTAATTTGAGGTCCTGTTGGGTGACATGCAGATTCTTGGAATGGCAGGGAATGGACTAGCCTCTATAGGCCAGTCAAACGAACCCTAAATATCCTAATGTACTCATCCACCTCACGAATGTCAGGAAAAAGAAACAGGAAAAGTAGGAGTCCTTAAATCTATGCCTGATAAAACAGTTGACAACAGTAAAAAGCGAAGACAAGTGCTCAGATGTTGTCCAGAGCCTAACAAGAACATGATTAGAGAAAAGCTACAACCATGCAAGAGATTTCATCCATGCTTCCCCTGGCTAATGCCTCTTCAATCAACTTTTTTGCTGCCTCTTCAGCATCTTCCAGATCGGCAATGCAATCATAAGCCTCTTGGTTTGACATCACCTGTATATAACAGATTGTTAGGGTCATTAATTTATTTCAAGGAAAAACAGCACCACTGTATTCCTTCTGGTTCTGCTATTCTGCTATGCTCGCTCAAATATGCATCGAAAATGATAACAACGTGCCAAGTTTAGGCAAAGTCAAGCCTTTTTTTTTTAACCTTCCACAAGCCATCACTCCCCAAAGTTATGAATTCAGTATCTTCATCAATATGTTCAATCATTATATCTGGTTCTGATATGCTCTTTTAATCTCCCATCACCGAAAGCCCTCGCCATCTCTAACTGCCCGTCCACACGCGGAACCTTGCCTGAATTAATCATGGATTAATTGTATGCAGAAAGGAAAGGAGTGCCTACGCTTTCAATCCTCAGAAGAAAGGATAATTGTGTGCATCTGGCGCTTCATACACAAATCCACCCTTGCTTTTAACGTGTTCTTTCTCCTTCTGGGGATCATGATCTACTGAGATTTGTATTGCCACACCATTTCTGCATAAGATAGCCCGAGAATCACCAACATTGGCCACAATTAAATTCTCTTTATCAACTAGTATTGCTGTAACTGCTGTTGACCCTCCTCGAGAACCAATTATTCTATCCACAATCTCATTATCAGTAACCTTATATGTCCTCTTGATCGCTCATTTCAGGTTTGCCCAGAAATCAGGCTGAAAATGAAAAAAAGAAAGAAAGGAATTTCTTGTCCAAAAGTTCTTATAAACCAAGAATATAGCAGCGAAGGGATCGCATAAAGCCCTAACATATGGCCATTGATTTTCCTATTTTCTGCCACTACATAATCTTCCATTCCATGGCCCAATTTTCCTCGGACCATATGGTATCCAGGGATGACATTCCGACGAGGAGATTCCTCTTCTTCATCATTTTTATCGTTAGTGGAAGAATCATATCCACTGTCCTCCTTGAGTCACACGTAGATATCATAAATGATCAGATTACAACTTCCATTGAGCAGATAATAGATATCAGAAATCCCTATTTCTAATCCTGCAAAATGATTCAGCTAGTCCTTCCTTAACGAAAAAGGAAGTTTAGAATTCAGGAAGCAAAAGAATGTCAAGCGTTTTGCTCTACAGAGTGACTTAAATGATCCCTTCCTTGTGCACACAAGGAAGAACAATAAACTCAAATATTACCAACATTCCTTATGATAACTACCATGGGACTTGCACTCTAGGGTTGTGTTTGGTTAGTCTCCTAATATATATAAACATGTTAATTGAAAAGACAAACATATATACATATAATAAATTTATTGATAATTTTAATATATGAATTTCTATACTTTCATTCATACATGTTACTTTGGGTTTCTGATTTTTCGATTCCAACAATCCAGGCCTCCATGCTTGGTTTAGTGATATGCTAAATATCATAAAAGAGATGCAAATATAAACTCTAGTAAGATAACAAGCAAACTGGATGGCATACCTTCACGGTGTTCAAATAATTGATGATAGCCATAGCTTGACCTTCTTCACATTCAACTGTTAAAGAGTATAGCTGCTGCTAATTCAAGCGGGCATAACATGGTGATCATCTTTTTATACAAGCTTGGTACCTCTACAAAATGCAGTCACAAAAGAGTAGGAACAGGATACAAGTATCTACACTTTCGATAAATCTTAATTTTGTGTGTTCATTTGTGATTGTATCTAATCTATCATTTATCTCGGTTTAAGGTTTAAGTCATAGATCAATAGGTTAAATGGGTTCATACATGAAAGGAGCTTGTAAAATGAAGTCAGATGTGGTGGCTAATAAAGAAAGACTGAACACCTTTTAATCCACTTAATACAATTTAACTTAAACCAACCATCATGTAATAAAGCACAAGTGCATACGCACACAAAGACAAGTACAAAACTAACGAATTACAAAGAAATTAATGGCCAATCGAACTCTATTTTCCATTCCATGTCTAGAACTTTGATTGTAGGAAATTGACTACATTCTTGTCCAACTGGAAAGCCTTCGCAAGAATATCATCAGGGATCTCCGGATTAGTCCCAAACACAGCATTTGCAATGGTGATAGCACCTGGGTTTTGGCTGCTCAAGGCTGCTAGGGCAACCGCATTGCTCTTTCCCACATTTCTTTGAAAGCGAACAAGATTGACAGGGAACACAAAGACATCACCCTTTTGTAAGACCTTGGTCACAAGACGGTTTCCAGGGTTAGATGTTACAAATCCAACTTCAAGGCTGCCTTCAAGAACTGTCAAGATCTCGGAGGCACGAGGGTGTGTGTGTGGAGGGTTAATGCCGTATGGTGCGTAGTCAATGCGTGCAACAGAGATACCAAGTGTGTTAAGTCCTGGTATTTGGACTGCATTCACTGCGGTTACCTTAGACCCTACTCCATTTGATGTGTTGCCTGCCAAGTGAAGTCCACTGAAAGAGAAGTGACTAGCTTGGACATTTTTGGGGTCCTTGCAAGCCAACCCATTGACAATAACTGCCATAAAACAATCAAAATGTGTCATGTTTCTCCGTAAAAAGGCAACACAATCATTGAAATTAAAGTTACATTTGTTTCAGTTTGTATTTTGTCCCAACTACATATTTAAAAATATTTAATTAATCAATATATATTATAATATTTTTATATAGATCCCATTAAAAATTCTCTTTTGAAATTTTGATTAAGAAAAAACTATAATTTATAGTTTTTTTTTAAATTAAAATTTTTAAACCACAGCTGCAAAAACTATAAGAATATTAAACACAAAATAAGCAAGCAATGCAACGAAATGAAAAAGCTAGACGTAAACTTCAATATCTTTAACAAACCGTTGCTATCTCCATCAGCTACACAAAAATCTTGAAGTGAGCTTGGATCCGATGCTAGGGCACATGAGAAGGACAAAGCTAGGAATCCCAGGAAAAGAATGGAAGGAGCCATTGCGAAATGCGAGGTATGGAATTAGCTCTTTGATACAATTTATTAATTGCTTGTGCCCCAAGAATATAATGCTATTCAAGCTTTTTGGTTGCGAATCAAATATGCTCCATGCTTCCTTTATATACACATATAAAAGAGAGATGGAGGATATAATTAATCAAGTTAATCACCAGCATCTATGCCGTTCGGTTGAAAGAGTCTTATTAGCCCTTTTAAATTCTTTCCTGTCCAAATCCGTGCCACTTATAAGAAGCAAGCATCCTATAAGCCACATATAACATTATATTAGCTAAGATTTGGCCATGGAGGACCTGGTCCAGTGGTCCTATTAATATAATTAGCTAAGATTTGGCCATGGAGGAATAAATAAGCTATAATTAAAGTGGAAAGACGGAGTAAGGCAGTTTTTATTAATTAATTGGAGCTTAACATTTCGTATGCTGCCAAGTGCCAAGTACAAAGGGGCTGCCTGTGTGAACAAACTTTGTTCTACCGTCGGCATTGGCTAGGTTTACACATATTTAAGGATTCGGCTATGGCTTCATAACCTGTCCATTGAGTAAAATGAATCAAGATATGGAATCTTAAACTTGTTATTGTAAGAAGAAATAAGAGAGAAAAGAAAGGATCTTTGGACAAGGAGAGTAAAAATTAAGAAGACAAGACCAAAAAAGAAGAAGAAGGAAGACAGAAACGTTAGCTCAAGGAAATTCTAGGTTGCTAGTTTTGTACATGTGGCAAGAAGTTACTATGACATTGCAGCGTTGAGGACTAAGTCAGGAGTGCACGAGCAAGGTTTAATTAATAACCTCATTTGGAAGGGGAAAATATATATGCTTGATTAGGACTAATTCTCTCCTTCTTTTTATTATTGAAATTCATGAATTTATTTTCATAAATTAAAGGTAAATTATTATATCATAAAAGTTCGTTTTACATAAATTTTAAATTATAATTTTTAAGTTTGAATCATTATCCAAAAGTTATTTAGAAGAAGTAATCTAAGATAAAAATGAGTTAAAAATGAATTAAATTTGGAAATATATTTGGTAAGAAGAAATGTACTATAAATTATTTTATAGAACTATAAGTTAAAAGTTAAGGTTTTCAACTTTTGATTAAGTCAAAATCTTGACTCAATTCATTCTATAACAAGGTTTTGATTTAAATTAAAAGTTATTTCCAACCAAACATATTTATGAATTAAAAAAACTATAAATTAAAAAGAAAAAACAACTTAAATCAATTTGGAAAAGTCTTAACAAACATAACCTAAATTCTCTTAAGATATTAATGATAGTTTTAGCTATATTGTGTGTGTTTGCAAATGCTATGCATTTAAGATTTAATTACGTATGGTGAACATTGTTATTAATTAGTTTGAAGTCCACCTACTTACATATATAGACTTTGCAAACCGGTTTCATAAGCAAACCCATCTGAAATATTCTAAGAAATCATGTAATATATATATATATATATATATATATATATATATATTCTGTTTTTATTTTTTATTGCAATATAAAATCTGATTTGTGAAATATATAAAGAAAATTACACAGACAATTCTAATTAGATCCGTCACAACTGAGTTACGCGATAATCTTTGTAGAGGTGTTTATAGATCGATGCTATCCAAGTTTTACTGAGTGAATTGGTTCATGCTATAGATAAATACCAACTCTACCTTTATCATATATTTTTATCATCATTTAATTTAATTAAGGAGGCTTTATAATGGCTCTTAATCTACTACAAAATCATAACCTGACCCATTGAATAAATTGAATATAGAGAAAATGATCTCATAAATATATTTATTTTATATTCATTTTTTTTTAATTTTTTCAATCAAATAAATTTATATTCTTGCCATCTCTATCTTTTATTTCTTCTATAATTTCTAATTTCTAAATGGGGTTGTGTTTTTCAAAACAAGAAAGACATGAAAACATGCATATTTATATATAATCAGCAAACATTACCTAAAAATTATGTAAAAAATGCAATGTTTTGATATTAATGCCATTGAATTTATCAAAATATTCACAGCTTGTATATGCAAGCCATTATCTAAATGCCCGTTTAATTAATAAATCAATCTATTATTATAAAAAAAAACTTGCATATGCGTAATTAACTTATTTGATATTTTTTTCACGTATTAATTTTAATTTTTAACAGGTGTTGGTCTCAAATTATAGAGAACAATATTTTTTATCAGAATGAGATCACAGAGAATAATTAAACGAAATCTGATTTGTTGTACATCTATTCTCGATTAAGAGAAGCTCCAAGGAATCTAGATTCTCCTAACCTACTAAACTAGCCATAAAAGGGAAGGCTTGACACCTAACACTCTTATAAAAAAGCCATGAAACAAATCTATGGATTTAAATTCCTTTCCACATAAATTCCTTCACCAAATCCCCAACTCATCTGGAGATTTTCTGCTTTAGTGGAATATCTTGCTCAATACTCAGAGAGCTTGACTTGCTTCATTATCTGAAAATTGAAACGAAAATGTTTAAGAACATACAACAAAACTGTGTATGATTCAAAAATTGAAACAGAATTGAGAGTGGGAGAGTTACCCCAACATAAACAGCAAGCTTTTGCTTGAAATTGGCATGTTCTGCTTTCAGTTTTTGGAGAGACGCCTTGGCACTATATATAAAATTCATGCAAAAATAAATTTCTCTATCTTTTACATGTAGCACATGACCTGTGGCTCCTTTCAAAGACATAAATCTCACCTTTCTAAATCCCCTTCATGGCAAAATCCCCTGAGTTTATTGGTTTCGTCATTGATTTTGGTCGCACCAATGCTACAAGAAATAACATTGCTAAATTCCATTAATAATAAAAATAAAAATAAAATATTCCCAGCAAGAATTTTATTATCTCATGAAATGCTATATATATATATATATATATATATATATATATATATATATATATGATGTTGATTTTCATTTTTTCCCCTACCTGGCACTACTGCCCTTAAGCCGATACATCATTCTTTCAAGGATGAAGGGAAAATCATCCTCCCTGTGCAAGCACAATAAGGGGAAAAAAAGAGTAAATCATATATAATCACCATCTTGGTAATTAAAATAAAAAATGCAAGATTTCAATTAATTAGTACTAGACCCACTTACAAAGCCTTCTCAATAGAAGCAATGTATTTAGATGAATCCCTTAAAAACAAGGTGAAAATATTTTCAATGAAGTCGGGATCATCTTCATTTTCAAGAGTCTCAAGATAATTCACTTGTCCATGATCCAACAGTCCCTGCAATAATCAACATGCAAGCTTAAAATGTTGGTGTACTCTTCATAGTTTGTGCACTAAGAAAAAATTAAAAACGTAAATCACTTTGAAATTGTTCCATGGTAAAGAAAGACCTCCTCGTAGAATGATTGCCTCATGGTGCTAAGCTGTTGGCTCAAGGGATTGCTAGCCATTCTGAAGGTAAAAGAAGGAAACAAAATTAATCAAAAAAGTTATTTGAATGGAGTCTCTAGAGAAGAAAATAAATAGAAGGGTTAAGGCTTAATTGTGTAGTAGAATGGCAAAGGAATGGGAGTTATATATTGGCCAAAAAATGATGCAGGAAACGAACATTTTTCACTATCCAGGCAATTTTTAATGCTTCTAAAATTGCAGATTACACCATTAAAATAGGGATGAAAATTTATTCTGAAAATCCAACCTTTACCGTAACTAAACTATTTAAATGGGTGAGGTTCTATTTTTTTTAATAATTATTTTACTCAATAAATAATGAATAAAATATATATATTATCAAATCCGGCCTAAAATCCAAAATATATACATTGTACCATATATGTGTGCAATATTTATATATATTTTTTAATCCAATATGGTATATACATATCCTAATATAGATATAATACACATATACATAACATTTATAATTTTACTATTACACACACACACACCTTAATATCTAATTTTTTTTATCTAATGTATAATAGATAAGATATAAATAAATAGAAACATGATTTATGGATCTTTATTTCCATCTCTGTATTCAAATAATTCAAATAAGAAATATAAAAATTTATAATTGGTGGTAGACACATATATAACAAAATTGCTATCATGCAAAACAACTAAAATGTTAATGTTATTATAAATTAATATTTTCTTTGTGCAATTTAAATCATAGCTACTTCAAATTTATTAGAAGTATATCATAATTAAAATAAGAAGAGAACAAATAATCTCATGGCGGAATAATGTTATAAATGCTTAAGGATGTAATGTAATCAAACAAACATTTTGTTGTAACCCAATTTTGGATTCATTAAAATTTTTTGGAATGTTATTTTATCTTATTATTCATGACAAAAAAATATAATAAAAAAAAAAGAAAAAAAAAAGAGTTTAAAATATATTTTCTCGAGTCAACCGTCATTTTCGATCAAAACCGAGTCCACCGGGTCAATACGGGTCCCACCATGTCGACCGGGATGAAAAATGAGTTTCGGGTTGTTTCGGGTCAAAACTGGTATTTTTGGTCAAAAAACCCGGTCGACCGAGTTGATACCCGTATAAAAAAGTTTTTTTGTAATTTAAAATTAATTTTTAGCAGATGAAAAACTTTTTATAATACTGATTTGAATTTTTAATTGTTACCCCTATAAATAAATATTATTATTATTTAGTATTATTATATTATTATATTATTATTTAGTATTATTATATATAATAAGACAAATAGTAATCGGTGGAAGTTGAAAATCTTAACGATCCGTGAATTGTTGTCTGAATTCATTGGCTATAAATAGCCAATGAATTCAAGACAGCAGGAAAAAAAAAAAAGAGGAAAAAAGATAAAAAATTCATTCTGCATTTGCAATTGTGAATTCGGAATTACTGTTCAGGTTACTATTTGGGCACTATTAATTTTTTTTATACTTTTTCTGCACCCTAGTAAGATATTAATTTTTTTTTTTAATAAATTAAAAAATATCAAAAATATCCCAACCGTTAGATCTAATAGTATTTAGATCTGAGCCTTTGATTTCTTAGGAAAATTTCGCGCGTGAACAGTTACCGCGCGTGAGCCACACACGCCGCCAGTGGCATTTTCGATAAATCCGAGGGTATTTCAATCTTTTACCTATACAGGGGTACTCAAGTAATTTTCTATGATATTTTATGATATTTTATGATATTTTTATATATAAATACTTGTAAATTTTTGCATGTGAAAAAAAACAAAAATAAACAAAAATAAATAACAACGCGGGTTCAACACCCATTTTTATCATATCACTGTTCATAGGTCAAAAGCCCAATTTTCAAGAATTGATATATCTATTTGTGAATGATATTAAAATAATTTTTATTTTATAAAATAAATATTATTTGTCGACACGTCTCTTTTATTTACAGAAGAGGACCGATGTCAAAAAAAAATTAAATACCAAATATGGATTATGTCCATTATTATTTATTTTGGTAAATTAGACGTAACTCTCCTTTTTAGGGATAAACGTCGACATTTTAGACAAATCTCCTAATTTTAGGGATTGATGTCATTTTTAACGCGTCTCCTATTTTTAGGGACCGACGTTAACTATGTTAAAAAATTTACAAATAAGCTCAAAATATAATAGCATTTGAATTAGATAAGAAAAACACACAAGTTAAAGGTAACCTTTCTCTGAAAGGATGTTTTAAGGGTGGTGTCTACCTTCCCTTAATCATAACTAACCCAGTACCCGAATCTCTGGGACCAGTGTCTAATTTTGGATTTCTAGTTCCCTCAAATTACTAGATGGCGACTCCAATAAAATCTTTATTTCCCCTAATCAAATAAAAAATTAAATTCCTTTTGTTTTTTAAAAAAAAAACAAAAAAAGGAGTGGAGCAGTCGCCCGACGGCGTGTAGCGACAAAATGGCGACTCCACTGGGGACTTAGGGTTGAACCAACTGCTTGTGTTTGCTTTTCATATGATTTTTCTTATATGCTATTTATTTTTGGTATTTATTTTATTTACATTATTTATTACTGTAATTCTTTTCAATTTTTCATATTGGCCACATGCATGCATGATATTTATTTGTGTATTCACACACTTCACGATGAACCCATAAAAGCTCTGGACCCGAGCTGTCCTTTTTAAGATTAGAAAAGAAAGATTCAAGTGGCAAGTGTGACTTATGTCCACTGATGCTCATTTGGACTTTCGCTTGGATTGTAACTCACCCTATGCAACGGGTATTGTGGAATTTTCTCCCATACTCATGTTGCATAAGGTTAAGAGGCCAGTTACTTCACAAGTAATTCGGACAATTTAAGAACCAAATAATTTCTTTAAGGATAGAATAAACTAAGCCAAACCTTATGAGTTAAATCCTATCAAGTAGGATATAAGACACAAATAAATATCAATGCATTAACATACATTTTCATATACATTCCATATTCTCATTATATCTCCACCGATCCTTATAGGAAGTGTGAGATGAAAAAAAAAAAACAAATTTATTGAGGAATTTTTTACCAGATCAAAATTAAGGCAACAAATTTCTTCCCTCAATCAGTTCAAGTTCCTGTAGGTTTGGAGTCCTCAGTGAGAACTTTCTTAAGAGAATTTGATCTGGTCTATTCCTCATCATAAGTTAAAGGAATGCCTGAAACAAATAACAAGCATGCATTATTCATATGGCATTTTGCATCCATTTATGCATTTCATTCATTTTTATTGCATTCATTCAGGCTGAAATATAGGTCCCCCAAAAGACCATAAAATTCATTACACTCGACTACGAAGAAAAATAATGGAGAATGAAGAAAGAGCACATCTAGAGGCTCACTATCAAAGGGAGTTAGAGAGCATGAAAAATGATATCGTAAGACTTACAAGTCTACTCGAGCAGGCCCTGGCATCCAAGTCTGGAGAGGATACCTCTACTCAGCCAGCAGTTGCAACTCCATCTGCATCTACGCTAGTAGCTCCTTTCGTGTTCACTTCTCAAAATCTAGGAGCAAATCCTTCTTCATCTAAACAGCAGTTCACTGTCAATGTTCCACCAGCACAAGTGCCGATCATAAACTTGACAACTGATGACTCACATAGGATGAGATACTCTAAACCTGTTGATTATGACAAATTGACCGCTCTAGAAGAAAGATTGAGAGCAGTCGAAGGGGCAGACTTATATGATCCTGTTCATGCTGCAGAGATGTGTTTAGTCCCGAATGTAGCTGTACCTAAAGAATTTAGGGTACCGGAATTTATCAAATATACGGGAACTGAATGCCCAGTCACTCATCTTAAATCTTATTGTAATAAGATGGCAGAAGTGGTGAATGATGAGAAACTTCTTATCCATTTCTTTCAAGACAGTCTTTCTGGATCAGCACTAAGTTGGTATACAAGACTAGATAATACTAAGATCAGAAAGTGGAAAGATTTGGTCAAAGCTTTTGTGGAGCAATACAAATTCAACATGGAGGTAGCCCCGGACAGGTCAAGCTTGTTAGTCATGGAGAAGGGCAACAAAGAGACTGTAAGAGAATATGCTTTGAGATGGCGTGAAAAAGCATCCCATGTGCAACCCTCTTTGTTAGAAAAAGAAATGGTCACTCTGTTTACCAACACTTTTAAATCTCCCTACTTTGAACACTTAGTGGGTAGTTCAGCTCAGCACTTTTATGATGCTGTAACTATTGCTGAGAGGATAGAACAAGCAATAAGAATGGGGAGAATGTTAGAGCCTACTGAGAAGAAAGGCTTTATCAGGAAAAAGAAGGAGTCTGAGGTGAACAATATGGAAGGAGGGTACAAGGGTAAGAAGAAAAATTACCATCACTATAACTTCCAAAGACCTACCCAACAAGTTGCAAGTGTAAGCTTCACTAAACCTTTCCTTACCAACCAGCAAAACCAACCAAATGACCAACAAAGTAACCAGATTGTTAATCCTCCAAGAAGGAATTTTCAAAGAACCCAAGAACGATTGCCACCATTACCACTTCCCTTGGGAGAAATGTATTCGAAGTTGTTGAGTATTGGGCAAGTGGCCCCTGTTCCTTTAACCCCACTACAACCTCCATACCCAAATTGGTATAAGCCTGATATGACATGTGAATATCATGCTGGCATTGCTGGGCATAACATTGAAAGCTGTAATGCATTCAAAAACAAGCTCTTTCAATTGATAAAAGCTGGATGGATAACTTTTGATGATGCACCGAATGTGAATTCTAACCCTTTACCCAATCATGCTACAAGCAATGGAGGGGTGAATGCTATCGGAGTAGAGGGTAAGAAGGAAAGAACTTTGAAGGTTTCCATGGAAAAACTGTACGGTATGATGGTACAGTCTGGATATTTATCCGAGTTTGAACCAGTAATGAATGGAAATAATTACTGTAAGTTTCATGCCAAGGTGGGACATCACATTGATGATTGCGAAGAATTT